TATAACAGTTAAATTTCATATGTGGAGACAACTTGATGAGTCTTCATACCATACTCATTTTCAGGTAAAAAGTCAAGATCACTGGGACCTGAAAAAAAACGGGCCATAAAGTGAAAGGGCATATCGAGGATTGACGGCAAAACTGCAGTAGCTTATATAAAATTAAGAAGGATTTATAACATTTTTTGCGATTAATCCCCGATAAACATAGGTACGATAATGCGTATAATATATAATCTAGTCCTCAGGTGTCCGCTTTGTGACCAATTGCTGCCTTGTTATGAATGAAATATTACTCTTTTTAAATTCCATCCTTAACTGAAAGAACTGTCAATTTGACATTTAAACAAACTGCAGGAAATAGAAATAACAAAACGAGTCGCTTCTATATTTTTGAAAAACTAATCTTGTTTAGAATACATTTGTAATACTGTCAGTCCACTTTATCACTTGCTTTACATTTGAATTAGAAATATACTCTATGGAATAAAACATCTCTAAATTAAAATGACATGTTTTAATGCTCCCGGGCATATAATATTTGAACCGTCCGTCCGTCTGTCCGTCCGTCCGTCTGTCGGTACGAGGTTAACTTAGAACGGCAAGTTGGATTTTTCTTAAGTTCTACCTGTACCAATAGCTTCTTAGTTTACACACTTACTAATCAATACAAAGTACATGATCTGGTCAAGTTACATAACTATGGCTTCCATCTTTACCAAGTTATTGCCCTTTTCAGCACAGAAAATGAATAATGGCTAACCTAAAACGGCAAGTTGGACATATCTTAAGTTCTATCTATACTAATGGCTTCATAATTTCCACACTTACTTATCAATACAAAGTACATGATATTGCCAAGTTATATAACTGTGTCATCCATATTTCCCAGTTATTTCCATTTTTTCACTAAATAGGAAAATAGGGCCTTGTCTGGTTAACCTATTCCGGCAAGTTCGATTTATCGTAAATTTCTCTTAATTGCTTAATTTATTAAATGATATCTTGCATATTTGGTAGGTGGATACCTTTAATGGTCCTCTATTTCTGTGTGGAGTAAGTGGTCTCTAGGGTCAAGGTCAATGTCACTGGTTTTGAAAATAAATTTAAACATTTTTGCTCATACAGCCTTTATTTTTGGTTGATGTCTTTTATGTTTAATACAAACATGCAAAGGGAGGTCCTCCTTCTTTGGTATAGTAAGGGGTCATTTGGGTCAAGGTCAATGTCACCAATGTCAAGGTCACCAATATTAAAATAGATTTTTACAGGTGTATTAACCATATTCTATAGACAGATGTCATTTGTAATTGATAGGAACATAAAATTTGATGGAGTTAGGGGTCAGTTGGGTCAAGGTCACCAGTGCTAAAAATAGATTTTTACACTTTTGCTTATACAGCCTTTATTGCGTGACAGATATATTTCATATTTGATAGGAAGATAACTTGCATGGTATTCATCCTTTATTTATTGACAGATTTATTTCATATTTGGTTGGAAGATAACTTGCATGGTACTCTTCCTTTGGATGGAGTTAGGGGTCAGTTTAATCAAGGTCATCAATGCTCAAAATAGATTTTAACAATTTTTGCCCATACAGCCTTTATTTATTGACAGGTGTATTTCATATTTGGTAGGAAGACAACTTGCATGATATTCTATAGGTGTCAGTGGGTCAATGTCAAGGGTGCCAAGCATAGATTTCTTACATTTATATATATTTGATAAAGTTGAATATTTATCACTTCACAAGTCATAGCAATGACTTGGCAACTTATATATTTCACAATTACAAAATGCCATGACTCTGTCAAGCTATATAACTTGTGTTTACAATTTTTTTGCAATGTTTCTGTCCATAACTGTGTGAAAGGATATATAAACATTTTTTTTTGAAATATTGCTACTGACAAGAGTCGGAGCCGGGGGCAATTGTGTTTAACAAACAAGTTCTTGTTTATATAATAAAGTTTAATCTTAATTTTGAAAGAAGAAGCTAGCGGACAATATCAGGTTGGACACTTTAAGGCCCTTGAGTATGCCTAATGACCAAGGTAAATAAATTCCTGTCCCTTTTGAGCCAACTTCACAAACATTTGGAGCAGCTAATGTCATTAAAATACACATTCTTCTTTCTTCATAACCCCATATGAGACATTGTTTAAAATATAGAACGATACTTGGCCCCAAACATAGTAAATACAGTCATGTAAGGTGACCTTAATTTATCTGTAAAGAATGATATGAAAAGGCAAAACAAAATAAAATAATATGTTCTATATCATTTCAATAATCTTACTTTACCTTATATTGTAATCTTTGAGGTATTTTCATAAATATACATAATCAATAAAAAGGAACCACAATTATTTGGCTACAATTTCATTCAAAACTGGTCTGTGAAAAAATGGAAAAATACTCTTTCATATCGGCAATGCTTACCGAATACATGTGTCAGGTACCCTGTCTCTTTTAATCAAAATATTTCAACAATTATCATTTATTGTATAATTAAATGTTATATTGTACACTATGCATGGAAACTTTTGTCAAAATCAACAATATTCTTTTATTCAACATTAAATGTTCAGTTTGACTTTACTTAATTAACTACCAAACAATATGAGAAATTTAAATGCCATACCGCTAAGACTCATAGCTTGTGTCTTTGTTTATATAAGTGATAATATTTTCATTGTTAAAGAATTTTCAAGTAACACATCATTTTAGTTGATTAAGTTGAATGATATGCATGAATTTTTTGTTAAGAAATACAGATCATGTACTTTTAAAATGTGTTAGGTACATAACGGTCATAAATGTGTCCTTGAATTTATTCTACGAAAGACACAGACATACATACATATATACGCACGAACGCACGCACGCACATACATACATACATACATATATATTATATAATTCATGATAATTTCAAACTGACATATTTATTGTCGATGAGGCACTCCAATTAAACTTGATACTTTCATCATTTAAAAATAAGATTGAAATATATTTTTATATATATATTATTTTTAATATTACAAGTGTGAATCTCAAAAACAGATACTCAAGACTGCAAAGTTTGAACGAAGTCAGTGTGGTTGTAAAATTAACCATGGATAAATGTCCTCTAAGACATTCAGCTTTCCCATTGTTGTTTTTCTTTTTTCGAATTTGTTCATTTTTAAATAAAGACTGAGAAAAAAAAGAAGAAATATCTTATAGTATTCTTTAATGAATTTTACCCATTTTTCCCGTTTGTTCGATCGTAACAACTTATGGCCGAATGTCTCCGAATGTTTCCTCTCTATTCATATATACCGTTGGGAAACCACAATGAATATAACTACGTATGCTTATAAAATACCTTCATTATAGCAAAAGTAACTAATTAGTAATTTTAGCCTCTAACAAAATACTTTCAATCATTGCCCAACCATAAATGATTCCGTGCTTTTAGCCAAAACAGGTTTCTTAGGTTATCTGGATAGCTTCTTCATTTCTTAACATAAAATAATTCTAAGTCCTTTGAATTCATTCTACTGTGGTGATATTAAAAGCAAACAGCATTACGAAATCGCCATAAGACAGTGTCGGTGTGACTTATTACCAGACAATTGAAACAATTTAAAACAGATGCGTGTTTTCTATATAAAGACAGGAAGAAAAATGAGTAATACGATAATTATAAGTTTTTCTATTAAAAATATTTTTAATCAAACGAAACAAAGCATCAGGAAATGAGCGTGAGCTGTTATCCTGTTGCAATGATTCAAGTAATGTACATTTATACATTTTATACAAGTATACATTTTATTTAAAAAATAAATATCGACTGTGTGCATATGATCTTCTAAGTTAGCTGTAGACTATAGTGTAAATGGATTTGATCTACATATTGATTTGCTTCCTTGTATGGTGTATTCTAGGTAAGTTTAAAATGATCTGTTGTTCTTTTAATTGAATTATTCGAATGCCTTTAAAGATAATTTGAAATATTGTTTCAGATTTTGAACCTGAATTTATAATGATCAAGGTCATGTGAAACATGATTACGTGTCATTTTAAATGTATTAAAACTGCCTCTTTACATTTTTTGTATTAAATTATATTTGGAGACATTTCTAGCGGAACTTTTTGTAAGATTTTATGTTTAAGACAATATTGCCATGATTAATTTTATAAGAGGGACTGTCGTCATGTTAAACCTGCATTGTTATACTTGCTTTTAGTAAATGTTATATTTCTTACTTTAATAACACCAATTTAACAATAAACCCTCTCATATAAAATTGAAACTTAAACATTGAACAAAAGTCAATATTGTAACCGTTTGATGCGATGTTGATAAAGATGTAAATGACGTACCAAAAGTATAAATTTCCAAGTATTCAATTGTATAGGTATCTGCTAGATATAAAGATGTGACATTATGTACGGTTTCCAAAAGTATGTTTAATTGTATGATTATAATAATGATTGCTTTATTAAATCGGTAGCGAGAGAAATTGAAACAAAACGTCATAAGTATGCAATCAGTTGTCAGAATGATACATTAAATATTCGTTGCAAATTGTCTTCTTCATGCTTTTCTATTGCGTTATGTTAAAAAGGAGCTTTATTGACAGACATCGTCGTTTTAATGTAATACTTCTACGTTATTGCGTGTGTTTAATTTTTTTTAGTGTTAACTTACAATGGAAGACATTCATAGTTAAATTTTTTTTGTAAGATTTTTTTGTTTCAGACAACCATACTTCCGTCACGTTAAATTTGCATGTAAAAACTGGATTTAAATAAACTTTAAGGATATAAATGAGAACGGATACGTTTAATTGATATAAATGAATTGCCTCTTTGACTTTGTACCTTTTTTAAACTTTAGGAAAATAAAATGTACAGTATGTACTAAAAAAGAAACTTCCAAGTATTTAATTGTATATCTGCATGATCAAATTACGCATTTAATGTCTCGACTAGTTTCTTTTATTTAGGAGATGACATAAACGTTTACAGTATAACAAGGGAGAACATCATTCAGTCAAACAAAACGTTAGCATCACAAGGGAGTCAATTATCTTTAAACCGAAACAAATCTACACCCTACGTTTCGGTCGACACACAAAACAGTATAGGTTTGCTATCAGTTGTCAAAATGACACATACAATTTACTCTCATTTTTTTACATTGTGTTAATAAAACATGACAAAAATCTTTTTTCCTGTGTCCTGAGTTCTTAAGCCCTTAATTTGTGGAGGACACTAGCGGCTACTTCGCGTGCACATTGCAGACAAAATTCAGTTTACAACAAAGTTGTTGAAATTCTTTTAAGATTTGAAATGTTATGAGCATGAACTTTGAAATCGAAAATACATATTTAGGACACTATAAATAAACACATGTTTAGTAAATAAATACTTTTATCCGGTTCGCTATAAAAGATAAATATTTACGAAACTTTTATATTTCAGAATCATATAACCGACCTTTTTGCGAATCCAAACAACACCCTAGTAAGTATAATAATCATCCATGGCGTTTTTAACATCCAAGATGAGGTTATTGATAATTACTTATAAACATTAACAAGTGTATAATCCAGTCTGTCTGTCAAACACATCAACAATATAAAAGTTCTAGATAATAATGAAACACTTAACTCTGAAATTACTTTGGGTGAATATAAATAGAAGTGCATTAAATTCTAAAAAAATTGAAATCGGTTGGCACTGATAAAGTCCTGCTTGCGTACATCAAATCTTAAGTCATAAATCATTTCACACGTATGTTAGCCTTGAAAACTTGCCTTTGAATATATATAAATCCTAATGTGTATCAAAAAATGAGAGCCTCAAACACGTGTTTAATATAGACTAATAATGATTATCACAAAAATAGTGTTAGCAAACTTATCTAAGTGTATTGAATATTAGACTTTACTCATTCTTACATTCAACAAATATTCTAAGAAACCAAGCTGGCTATATAAAAATATTCTTTTTTTCTGCATCTTAAAAATATGTACACATACATTAAATAAGGTATCTCTCAAAATTGGGAGTACTCTCCTTTCTAAGACATGTTACAAATTGAATTGAACATAAATTTCCACTATTTAAGTTAGGATCCTAAAACGATATATGCGGTTACATCTCAAGAAGAAGAACATTGCCCAAGAAGAACCTTGACTCTCTTTTTAGAAATCTTGAAGTTATTGCTTTTATTTCATACTTTTTTCCGGTGCATAACTCGAGAAAAATGGCAATATAATCTCGAAACTTTGTTCACAGATTGGTCTTATTAAAAAAGTGAGTGAATAAAAATTAAAACCTTTACAGTTTTAATTTGAGTTTAATCGCCCTTTTGTATTTATTCATAATATATTATTATTCGATGCAGAACTAAAAAATATCGGATACATCACAGATATATTGCATTGCTTAATAACAACAATTCTCTTTTGCATAATTCAATTTGGGAGTTATTGTCCAATGCAGTTTTTATTCATAATATCTAGGGGGCAAATAATGATTAAAAAAGGATTAAGAAAATTTATTTGAAATTGTACGTATTGATAGGTTACAGTCAGTATTTCCAAATAAATCGGACAACTAAACGCGTTTTTTCCTGGTCTTACTTGGGTCAATGCATTAAATAATTTGAGCATGAAGATGCTACATGTATCAACATACTTGAATCCTAACAATATTTCTCTTATTTTAATATACTTGAAATGAATGACCAAATGACATTAAATTATAAAACATTATTTTATATTTTTAATGTCATTGCATTTTAAAAGGATGATCTGTTTATTTTTGGCCTTTTGGCATTATAATAATTCTCTGGGAACATAATACTAAGAAGCTCCTATCAAGTGAATTGTATTTTTATCGACAGGGTATATCAAATCAAAGAATTTGTTTAATTTAACATGGCTTTAAAACTTAATAAACAAAGCAACACTTAAAAAACACATTTACCATACGGCCCTACATGTCATTAAAATATATTTTCATATCATTACTTATCATAGTAAATCTCTATTTCCTTTTACAAATATTTTTAATCAGAGCTGTTTCTCCTACTTTGTTTAAAAAAGCCAGGTAACTGCTCTTTATATATATGCTAACTCGAGCCAAGGAAAAATACAAAAAATACTGTAAGATAGTGTTACTGAAATTATGATGCTTTCGTTTCACTTTCAGTTGTTAAAGTATGCACTGATGACGAAGTGCTGAATAAAAGAGCAATGTATATTGACACTATGAGCGTTCCGAATTTTCAACAGACGTTGTGTGAATGTTTTGTAACACCTGTAGAACAGCATAATACTTTCACTTTGATTTTAAAATTGGAAAATCTAACTGGAAGACAGAATATGCAATTTAAAATAAATAATATCACAGTTGGAAAATTTTATGATAGTGAAAGTACGAACATTATAGGTGACACGAAACTTTTATTTTCAACATTTAAAGATCACCAAAGAAAGGGAGTTTGCTTAGCTGTCTATTCGGGTGAGTTTTCCTGTTGAATGTGCATTACTTTTTATAAAAAGAATCGATACTTTTTCAATATTGAGTTTTAACAAATTTATTTAAGATAGTGAAACATAAAGACATTTGTCAGGCCACACTAATACAATTGAAATACAGTTCATATTTATTGTATAAAATGCTCCTTAATTAAAAAAAGAAAATAATTTTATATATTTGAAACATAAAAAAAGTTATCTAAGCAAGAACATGGCCTTTTAAAAAAGGATATTGGCTGGTAATCAATAGAAGGCCAATATACCTTTTTCCTGTATTAACATATGCATAAGCACGAGGAAATATTCCAAGCCCGAGCCCGCAGTGGAAAGTATTCAATAAGGCTTTATATAAGTGTTTAATGCAATACCATTAAACAATGATATATTTGATAATAAAATTATTGGGGCTATTATCTCAGTAAGCTGCTTTAAAATGGCGTCATGAGTCTCGCATTTTAAAAAGCGTGTAACAGCGACCCGTGCTTGCATGTTTTTGTCTACTTCTTCTATATTCCTGTGTGCGCATTTTCATGCAAGAATAGCTTATGGCGGCACAAATTCAAACTTATCCTTAGAGCTTATATTATCTAGCTGTATATTTTTGATTTCAAAAGTTAAAGCCCTTTTGATTTACAATGTCCCAGAGCCAAGTTGTTGTTATGAAAGAACACAGTTACATATTTGATGATTGAATGCAAATGTATGCATTAAAAACAAAAAATGACAAATGATAATATTGACTGTAATGAACAAAATTAAAGCGTATTCTAAACAACATACTTTTAAGACGCTCCAAATGTCTATTGCTATATATTAAACAATAAAATATTTATTGATTTGATATCCTTTTTTATTCAAATGTCAAACATACTTTGTAATTTGATTATTTGAAATTAAGGCATGTACGAACAAATAAAATCAATGAATGCCTTATAAGTCATATAAAGAAATTTATTAAAAATTTCCCCCTGGATACTTAATACTTTACTGTAATATCATTAATTAATTGCAGAACATGGCATTCATTTCAACTTATCTTGTAAGAGATCAACAGCTCCGAAAGACAAAGACATTGGAGTCAACGCTATAATAAGTATGTTTGACATGTATTGTCTATATAAGTAAACATAAACTTATATCCCTTGTTACATGTGCCACTAAATTTGTCAAAGTTAAAATTGAACTTTTCTAATATGTTCATATTTAGATTATACACTTTACTATGATATACATTCATATGAAACTTAATTGCAATGTTTAAAATATTATTATTTATAAGATGTATTAATTAAGAAAATAATAGAAGTGAGCTTTTTCGTTAAATTATATACATGTGTTATAGCTTATGTAAACATAATTTGAAAATGGCCTGCCTTTTTTACATTTGTGACGCGTTTTAGCTTATATGAACTTTCAAAAAACTAGAAACAAGCTATTTTGCTCTACAAAGACAGCTTAAAGAGATGTTGCACTTATTCATTATCCCTCATGTACAGACTCAATCAAACCGAGTCTGCAATTCTTATGTTATTTTGTTGTGATTAATGCTTCCGAGGGATCACTTTGTTTCCAGAATTTTAACAGTTCTAGCATTAAATTTACTTAAAATACATATTAGTGGTATGATAATAATATCTAACTGGTAGTTATTTTGATAGATAAAATGCTAACTTATCTGTCTGGTAAATGTTTAGAATTTAAGTTTGTACCAGGAAATATCAGTACATTTACTTACATGGCTTTTGAATTATATGTTACATTGCAGTTTCTAATTTTTTCATACAAGCTTCAATTGAGTTCTTGGCGGTTGTCGCAGTTTAACATAAATGTATTTTATGTCTATATGAAGACCACATAATTTCAAAATATGTTCCCGTTAAGTTTAGAGTAAATACGCATACTGGATAGAGGTTAATAGAACAACTGTACATATATAATAAGTCTTTACCCCTTCATGTATGTCAATGCACTAAGAAGCATAAAACTATTTTTCCACCCTCATCACAATTTACAATTACCATTGAACATACTGTCTTGCAAATGAATGTTTTTATAATTATATACAATTATTGTTCTAGTTAATATTGATTGTCATATTTTGAATGTATCGTGTTTTTCTAGTCGTTTTTTGGGGGGGTTTTCACTTCCAGTTTCTACAGTGTTATTATTTAGTATTTGAATTATGTGCAAAACACTTATCATAAGTGTGAATAAAATTATCTGATTGTGCTAACACTTTTAGTTCCTAAGGTGTCATCATTTAGTATTTGAATTTTGTGCTAAACACTTATCACAAGTGCGAATAAAATTACCTAATTGTGCTTTCAATTCCAGTTTCTTCAGTGTCAGCAACTTGCGGACTTCTATGTGGAATTGTTATTTCTGTTGTCTGTGTTATTTTCTACAAAAGGTAACTTTAACCTATATAGATATGATAACAAAATAAATTTTTAAATGACTTAAATTGCCAAATAAATGTTTTATGATGAATTAACATTCCTATGAAGATGGCAAAACGTAAACATTTATGCATTCTTTTTATAGAATAAACATAGAACAAAACATTAAGGTTTACGTAATAATATATAGTCACCGTCACTCACCATTAACGATTTTGCGTAATCTACAATTTCACGGAAATATTTTCATGTTACTAGTGATTACATTGTTCAAAAGTGACCTATTTAAGTCATACACACTGATCAACAAAGTGTTCCGCCAGACACAAGAAAGAACTTGTTTCACTCATTTCAAGATTTCAAGAGCGTTAGATGGTGTATTTGGTGTAATTATTGTTAAGATAAGTTGAATATTATAATCAAGATTCGAGATATTAATCACATGATGTCAATTGCCACGAACAATAATGACGTAAAATATCATTAGTTATTTTATCTATTATTTACATTATTTTATCTATTATTTACATTTTCTAAGATCACTGACTATCACCGTTGTCTATACAGACAGCAGTATATGTTAACAGAAGTATAATTATTACATATTTTTCGTGTCACCTGCTACAGAGTAGGGATCACCAATCTGTCGCCTCTCTGTCTGTCCGTCCGTCATAAAACTTGTCCGGAATACTTCTCAATACTGGTGCAATTCATCCGAATTTTACAGAAGTGATAAGAATAAGTTTTAGTAGGCATGTCGTCTTGATTTGATTTCGATTTGATCTCGATTGATTGATTGATTGGGGTTTTCTGTTGAATTAGTTTTAGTCATTTTATGGTCCTTGAATAAGGAAATCTGATGTGGCATGCTTATGATTTATGTGTAGTCACATACAAAGAAGCTGATACATGCTACGAAGTAGCCAGAACTTATAGGGATCACTTCGTGTGGCTATCCATAACAAAACTATTCTGGCCAACTACTCAAAACTAATGGTGCTACTTGATCCAAACTTTAGAGAAATTATCAGTACCTATCTAGTTTTACATATCGTCAGTATTTTCCGGTTCAATAATTTATGGAGTTATCACCCTTTGGATTAATGAATTTGTCGGGCTACTTCTCTTATACTAATGCAAATCGAGTAAAACTTTACCTCAAGTTCGTGCGTATATTTAACGGGATTTCCAATTTAATGTAATATGGCCCTTCAATAAGGAAAAAAACAACGTTTTGAACTGTTAATAATTTGTGTGTCTCTTGCTACACAGTTGCTGCACTATGCACTTGGCTATCATCAGGTGACATATATGATCACTGATCGATATTGTATTGACTATATTGATTTATGCCGTTATAGAAAAAAGAAAGGAAAAAGAAGAAATGCCACTACAATAAGCTCCACAAACGCACATGTAGAGAGTGACTATTATATGACTGAAAATGCAATGTACAATATGGGTCAGATATCAACGCGAGAAACAGTCAATGAAAACGAACACAACACTTTTGAGCATGATGCGGAAGCATATGCTGGAACTTCGCCAAGCCATTATGATTGTATCCGAGAATCAACTGACAGAAACCAATCTTCTGAAAACGCACCAAGCCATGCTGTGACAAACGAGTATTCAACGTGTCTAAAAGCAGGCCAAGTCACAGCTGGTGGCTTAAACAAGAACACTTCAAATAATTATCAAAAGTACCAACCAAAAGGTTCAAGAATAAACGGGGAAGATGACACAGTATATGACAGTACAAAGTCATCCCTTCCTCAGCAGGCAGTCGGAAATAATGATTATCATCATTTGGGTTCTGTTGGTTTGAATGGACTGAATCGAACATATGATAAAATTGGTAATACTGGTGTGGTTAAAAATTAGACAATTTTAGATAACAAGTATTAGAATTTCCAAAAATGCTTGGAATTGCCGTTCAGAAATGAATATGGAAATGATTATACCTTATTGTATATTGTATGTGGTCAACACATAAAGCCAACAAAAATACTTGATTCACTCTACCATTCCTTTATAGTCAAAATATTTTGACATGCTTATCTAGAATTTGAGATATTTTTGTTCTAGTTATTTCCTTCTGACGTCACATTTGGGTACATATAGTAAGTAAATAAATAATGGGAGATAGAACGGTTATCAATATCTCATTTGCAACAATTCGCGGCGTTGGCTTAATGTATCACTTGCTTACAATAAAATGCTTTCAGTCATTTAAATTAACGTGTTTATCATTTATTCAAGTCGCATCTTTCTGAATAATCATAAAAACAGCTGTTGCTTAATAGGAGCAAAATTAGTGATTAGAATTGAAATCAATCAGTATTTTAGATTGCATTATTAAACACACTTTTGATTTAAATTTAAGTAATGAGATAAAGACCTATGTAGAATAATGTGTTAAATTCTGAAATAAATATTATCCAGAACAAACTGAGCAAAATAATTTATTCAAGAAATATTAACAGAGCATCAGCCACATGCTACCAACTACACAAATGTACGTATTTCCAAAAGGCAAGACAAAATCGCTGGCTTTCTTTTGTGTGTCTCTTAAACCAGATGCACATTATCAGGGAAAACATTTAAGAAACCAAAAAGATCTTGGGCAGAAAATTTTAATATAAAAATACATTCAATGATATGTATGTTATGTATATCAAGTTATGTATTATCATTATAAATCAGAACAGAAAAATGAATATTTCTAGCTGCATTTTTGAAGAAAACAGTGAGTGGGGTTGGAGGTATTCTCAAGACCAACTCGTCGTCGTTAGTGTCAGCAGTCGGTTAAGTTTTCGTATTTTGTCATAAAGGTCAATACTAATAAATGCTGAAAGATTACAACTTCACATGTGGATACAACTTGTTGAGTTTTACCTTTCACACTGAAATACATTTACATGTATACCTGTACATATTTCTTATTTAGTGAAGTTTCTCTTTAATTCTAATAAATTGTTATTGTTTTTGAGATATTCTTGAATTCTAACCAATTGTTATTGCTTTTGAAATATTCTTGAATTCTAATAAATTGTTATTGCTTTTGAAATATGGTTATTGTCAATGATGTTCTGTTATAAAATGTCATGTATAATTATAAGTGAATACAATGAAGTTATATGGTTATGAAATTGGATTTTTAATGTAATACAAACAGAAAATATATGTGAACACTTAAACGAATATAGAAATTTAATTTTGTGACAAAGTATTTATTTATACTCGTACGTTCGATTTCTATACGTTGGAAAATATAGTAATACCAAAAACTGATTTCATAATCGGCAACTTCATTCTTTTGTGTTCAAGTATAGAAAAAAACAACATTTTTTTTGTGTTGCATAATAGATTGTTTGATAATTTTTTCTATTTTACATCCTTTGGAAACTGTTTTCAAACGGGCGGACGTTTACTATTTCAACAGAAAAAAAGACTTTCGATACCCTGCTTCTGGTTCTTGGTAGTCGTTGAAGGTCAAGCAGAGCAATTGTCTAGATTTTTTAAGTGGTAAAAACTGGATTAGAACAAAAATAAATCATAATAGTAGCAGCACACTTCATATACTTAGCAATTATAATAGCATAATCAGTATACTTAGCAGTTATAAAAGTGAAAACAATTCCCAAATAGACTTACTGGCAGGTTTTAACAAAAGGACTGAGATCTTCGTTGAGAAACTTATTGGTGCCTGCTCGCCACGTCGAGCCGGTATTACGTTAGGATTTTACTGAGGAAACAATAGAAAACAAACAAAACTCAAAATCCATTCAAATTTAACCCAAGCTTGGCTTCAAGCTTTATATTTGATTCACCTGTCTAAGCTGGACTCAAAAATTTTTTTGGCTAATAAAATTTTATCTTACACAGCGGCTAAAAAACTTCAATCTAAACGCCATCTTTAAAGAGCAGTAAGTACTGCTTTACGAGCTAAGATATAATTATTATATTTTAACAGAGTTGCGCCCCTTTTAATCTTCACATTTTGATAAAAATGGTTTCCAGACGATAACTTTTGAATGAGTCAACAGATTGTTATATTTTTTGTTACACATATGTTACATAAAAATACAGGTCATGTTCGAAATTGGGTTCTGACTTCTAAATATTTACAGAGTTATGCACCGTTTAATCTTCAAATTTTCAAGAAAAATAATTGCAAATGATAACTCCTAAAGTAATCATTGAATTGTTATTGTTTTTAATAAAAGATGTTATATAAAACACAAGTCAATTTCAAATTTTGGATCAGACCACTAATTTTTTACAAAGTTATGTCCCCTTTTCATCTTCAATTTTGCACAAAATAAGGTTTATAGATGACATTTCTAAAAGGAGTCAAATCATTGAAATTATTATCGGTATTTTATTGAAACATCATTAAATACAGGTTAATATCAAATATGCATTAACGCCACGTAATTTCTACATTTTCAATTTCAATTAAGCAAAAAAAAAAAAAAAAAATGTTGCTTTCACTTGATTACTCTTCATATAGTCAATGGATTGAAATTATTTTGGTAACAAATGTATTATGTTTAAATACAGGCGGAGTTTGAATATGAGTTCAGACCACTAAATGATGTACATAGTTTCTGCTCCTTTTCATCTTTAACTTTGCAAAGAAAAAGTTTGCACATGAGTTTTCTTAAGAAGTCACTTGATTAAAAATAGAACACGACTGAAACAAATGAAATACAGGTTGAATTTCAATTTGGATTCAAACCACTTAATATTTTTATAGATGTTATAATCTGTTAAATATCAACGACATGGTTTCCAAATGATAACCTTTAAGGATTCAAAACGTACACTTATGTATTTAATACAAGTTGAGTTCAAGTTAAGGAACATACCACTAAATGTTTAGATAGTTTGGGTTTATTTTCATTTACCAATTTCAAACTTGGTATGATTATTTAAGATCTCTCTTCATACAATTATCTGTACAATGTTGTCTTATTTCTCGTTAAACAACATCTCCTCTAACCAAACGAATGATCCTTCGGTGGTCCCCTTTCAAAGTTGTTTTAATGGTTCTGGTTTGTTGCATATTTAGATTAAGGCGACAACTGGACTCATTTATGAAACACACAAATAAGCCTTACTTTCCCAAACATTTGGCATGTGTTTATTGCCTTGTGGACGACTTCAAAATGTACATGCATCTTAATCATATCCCTTAAATATTTCACGCTCCAAATGGATGGGGTCATAATCTACATAAAAATATCTTAACGTCTTAATGTATGAAAATTCAATGTCTTGAGCTTATATATTGGATATGTAGCATTACCTTGTGAACTTAAACAAAACAAATGTAAATCATGACCCATTAGTTAACATTCGCCCAACCCAAGAGGGAACTTTATTTATAAAGACTTGTAAAGGGCTTGTGTTTATTGTCACTCATTCCAATACTAATTAACATATAACAATTAACCTTCATATGTGGAGACACCTTGATGAGTTCTACCTACCATACACATTTTCAGGTCAAAAAGTCAAGGTCACCGGGACCTGAAAAAACACACACAAAAAACGGGCCATAAAGTGAAAGGGCATATCGAGAATTGACGGCAAAACTGCAGTAGCTTATATGAAATAAAGAAGGATTTATAACATTTTTTTGCGACCAATCCCCGATACACATAGGTACGATAATGCGGATGCATCTTGATAATATATATCTATATAGTCTTCAGGTGATCGTTTTGGGGCCAATTGCTGCCTTGTTATGAATGAAATATCACTCTTTATTAATTCCATCATTATCCAGGTTGTTGCTAAACTGAAAGAACTGTCAATTTGACATTTAAACAAACTGCAGGAAATAGAAATAACAAAACGAGTCGCTTCTAGATTTTTGAAAAACTAATCTTGTTTAGCATACATTTGTAATACTGTCGGTCCATTTTATCACTTGCTTTACATTTGAATTAGTAATATACTCTATGGAATAAAACATCTCTAAATCAAAATGACATGTTTTTTATATGATAAAGTTTAATCTTAATTTTGAAAGAAGAAGCTTGCGGACGATATGAGGTTGGACACTTTAAGGCCCTTTAGTATGCCTAATGACCAAGGTAAATAAATTCCTGCATGTCCCATTTGAGCCAACTTCACAAACATTTAGAGCAGCTAATGTCATTAAAATACACATTCTTCTTTCTTCATAACCCCAAATGAGACATTGTTTAAAATATAGAACGATACTTGGCCCCAAACTTATCAAATACAGTCATGTGAGGTGACCTAATTTATCTGTATTGAATGATTTGAAAAAGGCAAAACAAAATAAAATAATTTGTTCTGTATCATTTCAATAATCTTACTTTACCTTATATTGTAATCTTTGAGGTTTTTTCATAAATATACAACATCAATAAAAAGGAACCACAATTATTTGGCCACAATTTCATTCAAAATTGGTCGGTGAAAATTTGGAAAAATACTCTTTCATATCAGCTATGCTTACCGAATACTTGTGTCAGGTACTACTCTTTTGAAAATCCTTATCAGTCAGTCAAGCCTGTCCGACATATATGAATTTTTATTTTGGCAGCATCTTATATTTCTCAATGACTCATTATGGTCGCATTCGCTTCCCGTGCACTAAAATAGTAAACATGCTAAATCGACTTAGGTTTCTATATTTACTAATTTAGAGACATCCAGTGAATAACTGCATTGAACATGAATTGGGTTTATAACTTTTAGTGACATGAATATTGTCCGGGTACAAAGGGCGGATGAACCATCACAATGTCTAGAATACATACATATAATTTATTTACCTCAATACTTGCGCTTTGCTGAGAAGCCACATGGGGTCGACAGAAGATTAGGGGCTTGGCTGAATTTTAAAAAAGACGTGTTGACTTGTTAAGGTCCGAGTGCCGTTTTTGTACATACAGGACAGGTTCTATTGGCCAAACTTTCCCTGTCAGGTGCTGTTGGCGCGCCCGGGTTAGCTACCATCGCAATCTACAAATTAGCTACCTACCTGAATGAAGCCGAGATAAGTGTCTCTACATAGTAGGCACGGACGAATTGGAGGAAGGGAACAAGGGTGCGTAAGCTCCTATTTCACTTAAATGGTTTGAACGGCAGCACCCCCAAGGCTAATCTACTTCCTTATTGTCACTTGTTACTGAACGTTTAGGTGCTAATTGACCGCAGTAAAGTAATCTTCTTTCGACTCTTCGACTCAAAAATCATTTCTTTGGCTAATACTATGAGAAATTGGCACGTAAGTAAATTATCATCACTTGATGCTTCATAATTAACTCTTCTAAGGCATTCAGCCATCCACACGCTCATCAAGTGAGTATAAGAAGCAACCGTCTTTACTGATCACTTTCAACATTTATTCTGTTATATTTGAAGGCCATGTACATGTTGTAAACTTATTAAAATAAATCTTCTGGCATGGATGATCTTTATATGTTTAAACCATGTAAGAAATGACAAAAACAATAAATAGTCTGACTGTAGAAATATTACCCGATAAACTGAAACTAGCATGTGTTAAACCATAACACAAAGGGGGAGAGTAGTCAAGCGCAAATAATTATCGGCCGATATTAACTGTTCCAAACATTCCAAGAATATTCGAAAGCCGTATGGTAATAACCTTCAAAAAACCAATGTCATTTATAATCACAAATCTGGATTACAGTTTTTGTCAATACCTAATAGATTACTTGCTAACGAATATTAGGAAAATATAAATGCTGTGCTTTAAGATTACCAAAACCTATGATCAATTTGTTCGCAATTAACTGATTCATTAACTAAATCTTTATGAATCTTTTAAAAATCTGTACAATTTTTCCAGTCGTACCTTTTTAACACAGAGCAAATTGTAAATGGAAAAATATAAAAATCTGAAAGCGTGCCTGGTGTCAGGTGTACTACAGGGGTTAATCGTAGGTTCTATACTGTTTCTTATCAATATATATAGATATATCAGTCACTACGAAGCAGTACTGATATATTATCAACTTAACATGACACAATGATCACCATATTTTGAGTAATATACAATCTTAGACCAAATTGGTGCCAGGTATAATCTGAACTTCAGCTAAACTTATTTAAGGTATAAGCACCCTTATGCATTACCTCCGCTTTGAAGAGTATTCAAATAGGCTAGAACTACTGTTAACTACATTGAAAATGATGGCCATGGGTTCAATCCCCAGAAGGGTCAACTTTTTTTTCTTTCTTTTTTTCTTTAAACATTATTTATGTATCTCTCATATCCCATTTGGAAAGAAAAAAGTGTTTAATTTTGATTTTTTAATTTATATAGGTATTTATTGGCTAAATTATGCTAAATCTAGGGAAACTTTGAAAATAGGCACTCATTTGGGTAAATTTAAGAATTTTTTGAATTAGGCTCCCTAAGTAGAAAAATGGTCAGACACGTGGTAAAAATTGGTGGGGTAGGGTAACATTTTTATACAGATTTCATAAATTTTTAGTAGAAACCATAATTTTGCTTATGTGGATTGTTAGCTGAATGGTACTATTTGTTTCTTACCAAAAATTAATTGGAAAACATTTTTCATTAGAATGTTATTGCAGATTATTTAAAGGTTCCTCATTTCTAAAAAAGAGCCCTCATAAAATCCTAGCTTGAGTTCAGAAAATTGGCCATAACTTGATTTCCATACGGTAAACTTTGTTTAAATTTTGCATACAGGTGTACTTTAAGGTATACATCTGACCTATGATGTCATTTTTTTAGTTCCTGACAGTGCCCATTAGGGTCCTAATACCTTAAGTGCAAAATGGTGCCTTCTCAATAGAAGGACAATATCAATTATATTATAATTTGATTAAATATAAAATATATTATATAGGTAATCTATCTTTACATATCGTAGTCGCGCGTATAGACTTTTTCACGACTTGGTCCGTTGCTATAAAACAAACGTAAGAAAAGAACGGCATGCGATGTACGGACAAAAAGTATCTACTAGTATAATACGCTCGTAAATAAATCTTGTTTTTGTAGACATAAAGTATTGTATTTCTTCGGCTTCACAATTTAGTACGCCTATTTCAACTTTTAAAGCTTTTATTTATAGAGATTCATAGACTAAGCTTCTCCTTATACGCCAACTGAATCTTTGCTCTCAACATTTGACCCTTCGCTCCACCTCTTTCCCTTTCGAGAAAATATCGATATACAAATTAAAGAAATCCAGCAAGAGTGATTTATGTTGAACGAAGTTCTTATTACAGGTAGATATTTTAGGCTATGAACGTTGCCTTGCCTTGTTGATCTTTGTTCTCGTCTTTTACAATTAGCCGTTAAAATCGGCCTTTCGCTCTATTTCGGTAGTGCCGTACACTCGTTTTTCCGTGCATCACACTCCTGAAGTAGAGCGACGATTTGCCGGTCGTTTTAATGTATTTTGTGTTATTTTAAACGAAGACTTGTAGATTGTAAAACACAAAAGTGATATCAAATGATTACTGATTCCACGCTATGTTATACGTATAAACAATTCAAATCTGAGATATTTGTCTATTAATCTACCGTTTTATATGTTAGAAAAGCATTTGCTAAATTTCGTTGTTCAAGTAACAAGTCTATATTGGTATTCCAAAAAAAAAAAAAGAAAAAAAAGAGAACGTTATTGTCAGTATTGTTATGTTAACTTTAATATACGAAGTACTGAAGGTGAATTTCATGTATACTTTAAATGTAATAAAAACAGACATGGACGACGCCAATATTTACTAAGCTGGTATAACGGTAGATATGGATATTTAGATTTTTGTAATTAAATGAATTGTTCTGATGATGATAAAATAAAATCGATTGTTCATTGTACATGCCAATATGAAACATGAAATGTATAATAACATGACACAACTTCAAATGTATAATACTATATCAGTTTCGCTGTATTTTGGACCGGAGGCCTCTATGTACAAATAAAAGTTGTTGTTGTTATTATTGTCTGTAAATGTTTCAAAATCGAAGATGGCTGTCTTCTCCATTTAGATAAAAAATACGTTCCAGGACTTATGGTGTATTAACTGCTAATTTATAATAAATTAGAAAAAGCATATAAGATTATCCATAGACAATATACTTTAACTAAAAAAATGAAAAAAAAAATGTTACAAAACAAGAATTTTTCACCAAAATTAGGTGTAAGACCACATATTAACATGGAAAACGCGATTTTTTGGTAATTTCAGGTATTTTCATCATTTTTTGTTAAAAAAGAATATCATGTCTGTCTTCATTAATGGGTTACATACACCGAATATTATGATCTCTTCAATCACTTGAAATATTTTTCTTATTGTCGTGTTTTTATGATCTTATTGAAAATAACATATTTTTGTATTATCTTGGATGCCTTGATTAAAATTCCTTATAAACTACATTAATTAGTAATGATATTATTATTTCATTTTTATCTCTTTTTTTATTAAATAACTTTTAAATACATGTATGTCATTTAACATGTCAAAATATTCTATAACGAATTTATTCAACAGTACAGTTCCTTTTATCAGGAAAACCAAATTATTATTATAAAATTATTTTATCTAGTCAACTGTGTGTATAGATAATATAAATGTCACGATTATCTAATTAATATCAAAGTTACAATCGTACTGTGTGAAAATTGTGTCGATATTTTGTTCTTTTCAATTGCAACAATAGATCTTCTTTAAATACGTTAGATTTGTGATAATATCACATTCACGTAACCAAATGACCGAATAAATTTTCGGTTAAATTGACAATTAAAAGTATGAAGTTGTATTTCCTGTTAACAATTTGAGTGCAACGGGAAATGGTCTTCCTCTTAAATTATTATAATACGTATATGAAAACTCAAAATTTCATGTTATTACTGCATAAATGACAGAATGGGAATTTACTATCTCATATGCACACTTTTTTGGTTTCACGGAGGTATGTTTACACACCGTTTATCTATTATATTTTAAACTGAATCCTTCAAGGACATGTAATGCATATTGTTCCATTTTGTTAAATGTACTAGCATATTATATAAATATTTATGTGTCATTTACAAAGCTAAAATTTGACAACTGTTTTCAACCATAAAATGTAAACTGTAAAGGGCGATCTATTTCAGCCCAGACCTTGCTTAATTTAATCACAAGTGAGTTATTTATATTGCAGGTTTATGTAATGCAAACATGTTTGATAAATACTTCTAGTAAAAGAGATTAACGAATTGTATTCAAACATATTTCTCGTACTTGAATGTGGTAGAATGTAATTGTGCTAATCGGATTCAATACATTATGCTGATAAGATTCTGAGACATCGTGTTATTACTTTTTTCAGGCATTTACTGTCGGTCATTTTGTGGAAACAGACGTCAACCCAGTATGTATAGTTAAGTAACGATTCAAGAATTCAAAATATGTATATCTTTCACTTCTATGGACATAAAATGCAAACGTTTTGAATTGAATAAGAAGCCAATTGAAGTCCATGCGAAAGAAACTTAAACGCTCCTTTCATAAGTATAAGGAATAACGTCGACAATGTAAAGGATATCAAACTTTGATTTAAATTGAGTTGGCTTACATTTGAAAAAGTATTGTCCATGGTTTAAAATTGATTAAACTTTCATTGCATTAGACTAAAGATTTCAATGATTAAGGATGTAGCCACAGATTTCAATAACTTGTAAATGGTAGTTAAAAGGTATATAAATTAATCTGGGATAAGAATAGTCTGAGATGTAAATGGAAGTAAAATGCTTTATAGTTTAAACAATATTAGAATAGACTAAGATGTAAATGGAATAAAACGCTATATTGATTCGTGTAGATTAGAAAAGTCTAAGATGTAAATGGAAGAAAAACGCTATATAACTTAGTTTTGGATTAGAATAGTCTAGGATGTAAATGGAAGTAAAACGCTATATAAAATAGCTCAGGTTAAGAGTAGTCTAGGATTTAAATGGAAGTAAAACGTTATATAGTTTGGTCAAGATTAGAATAGTCTAAGCTGTAAATGGAAGAAAAAATGCTATATAACTTAGTTTTGGATAAGAATAGTCTAGGATGTAAATGGAAGTAAAACGCTATATAAATTAGTTCAGGTTCAGAGTAGTCTAGGATGTAAACGCCCAATAAATAAGTTAAGGATAAGTGTAGTCTAGGATGTAAATGGAAGTAAAACGCTATATAAATTAGTTCAGGATAAGTGTAGTCTAGGATGTAAATGGAAGTAAAACGCTATATAAATTAGGTCAGGTTCAGAGTAGTCTAGGATGTAAATGGAAGTAAACCGTTATTTTTATACCGTTATAGTTTAGGATCTACAGCGAAATATTTTTCTCCTTTAATTGATTTAGGTGAAATGAATATACATTTATTTAAGTATGTCAAACCAGATTGAATGTTATTTATTTTAAACCTGGAACTACTAGTGGCTTCATGGAAACTGATCAAAGATCGTTTGGGAGCACAGATGTACTATTACAACGGTGGCGCAGAGTGATGTTTATACTCTCGAAGCATAGACATATTTGTAAAAATATCTAGAAACAGGTCATTGTAATTACTGATATCTCCACTTAGATAAACTAGTTTTTGTAAATTTAATATAAATCATTAAATGAATCATAATAACATCTTTTTCTTTGGATATTTACAGTTGTAAATATTTGCACAGATCATAAAGTTGGACCGTCAAATTACATTCTTATTGATACAGCACGTGTTCCAGATTTCCAACAAACATCATGTGAATGTGATATTTCAACCGGCAGACATGACCCTTTTAAATTACTTCTTTACTTAGTAAATTACACTCAACGATTTAGCATGAAATTTGAATTAAACGAAATTGTCATTGACAAAAAGACAATCGCTACTTTACCAACAACACTTACAAGGAATAATAAAAAGCTTTCATTTTCTACTCGTGCAAATCATCAAAGAGATGGGGCTTGTCTCTGTGTGTATTCAAGTAGGTATCTATCATTTATACAAGCTAATGTTATTTCCTTTTTTAATTACAAATGTACCGTAAATGTATCATTTAACAAAGCGTTATGTTCTATGTTTACCTTCAAATATTTCTGCAATAACAAAATTACCCAGACATAAGTCTGAAATAAGATTACCATATACCAAAGTTTCCGTGACCGAGTTTATTAGTTAACTTTAGGAAAAGCGAACTTAAGTATCGTACAAACGCTTAAAGACAAAACGGTTTAAGATAATCAAAATTGTAAGATTGTAAGATTAAGTCTAAAACAAGAAAAGCCATGCTACTTTTATCTAAATTTTATTGTATTAACATGGTTCGGTATAATATTACACATATCACATCCCTCTGTTTTAACCCTTAAAATTCAACAATGTATAACTCGGCTCTGCATGAGTTATCATTAAATTTCTCTCATAACGTGCCACCACACTCAGATAACACATTAGTTAACGATATAAATATTATCATATCAATTCTTTTTCACAATTTAGAACCTAAAGGTTTTCATATTCATCTCTGTAAACACGATCAATATACATTTCTTATCCGAACTGTAAATAGGATTTCGCCAGCGTCAGCGTCAATCCTTCGTCCACTTAAGAAATGTTACGATACAAATTTTACTCTCACAAAATGCACAAAAAGACCAAACATAATACAGCCATTGATTTTATGTTACTTTAAGTGTTAGACTTACTTTACTTATTCTTACTCTGGGTGTAGTGTAATATATATAAACAGGTGCTTAGTTTTCGATTTCACGCTTTCATACATGTTTTCTTTCTAACCGAGAGATTTCCAATTTTAAGGCATTCTTTTCGACTTTCTTTTCGAGACTTTTCAAAAATACTTATTATAATGTTATATAATTGTCTATTATCGCTGTTTTGTAGCAAACAACAGTATCAAGTTCAACATAGCTTGTAAGAGGTCAACAATACATCCACCAAATCCAGACATTTCAAGTAAGTTTAAACAATAAGATCCCAAGACAGTCATTTCTCCACGTGTTGTTTTCTAAGATTGTGCATTAAACAAAGAAATATCAAATAACTAAGCTTCTTAATTAAATAGGTAAATAATTTTTCAGCACTTTAAAAAGAAATAAATTAGTTGATAAATTTACTCTGTTTACATAAATTAAGAAATAGTGGAGCAGTTAAGTGATATATCTAACAAAAATAAAGACATGCACATATTGTGGCGTAATGCAGTTAATAAGGATGTTGTTATATGTGTAATTGCTGGTTAAGATGTCTGTACATTTTTCGCAAGTTTGTTCTAAGAATTTGTTATTTCCTTGTTGTCGGTTAGGTTGATAAACGGCTTTATTTTTCTTATATATATTTTACGCATACATTTAAAAATTATCTCATTTCTCATTTTACTTTATAAAAAATCATTTTATTGCATTATATTTATTTCCATTCTTTACAACACAATGTGGTCCCAGCTTTGCCGTGTACAAATACGCCTCGCTTTCAAGTATGGGAACCAACATATGACCACATAGCCGACTGTTTCCCACCTTCAAAGCGCAGCGCATTTTGCGCACGGCAAAGCTGGGGCCACGTTTGAATTTATCGAAAGATTTTGTAAATGGAGTTAAACGGCGATAGTCTTGATGTTTATTTCGGCTGTTGCGTGGTTTATATTACCGTTGAAGTTTAGAATTGACCATCATCGTGAAGAATTATATCTTCTATGTCGATGGACCAAAGGATTCTGTGAAAATATTGGAAATGGAATAAAATACATGGTGATGTTGACGGTAGGTGTGCAGATTTGTTCCGCGGATATTTTTATCGTGTGTATTATTATAGATGTTGAAATATGATTTTTTTTCAAAACGGCTTATATTAAGTTTTTTTGATATATATGATCAGTACATGTGCTGCGATTGACAAATATACATTTTATTTGGATTTTAAAGGCGTTTTAAGCTCCACACTACAAGTGTCTGTGATTATTACGGGTACATCTTATATAGTCTTATAGTTAGACAATTAATTGAACCCTACTTGTTCATGACAATTACATTTTCTTCTGATGTAAAGTGAAAAAAAAGACATGCTAATGTTTGCTAACAGTCACTGTCGACGACTCTACAAAGTTCACCATTCAGACATTTATATGTGCATATTGTAACGGGTATGCGCTATCAGGATATATTTAGGAAGATATCTGAACTGTTTGTTCCTAAACAAAACTTGTGAGTGGATTTGACGGAATGGACCAAATTCGAATCAGACGACAATATAGAATTTAAACAACGATATTTATTTGTATTATATTTTACTTTTAAGAAACGATGTATAAATAAATTAACTCTTTAATTTATATGAACAAATTTATACGTTATTTAATTAATGTTATGAAAATTGAAGTAGAGTCTTATTGCTTGTCTGCTGTGTTCAAATGATTCCAGGCATAAACAAAAATGTATTTACATTACTGCTGGTCAGTTCCTTCTAACCTGCTCCTGCCCCGTGGTATACAGGTATTCAAGATTTACAATGTAATGTTCCAAAAGTTTCCGTTAAACATTTCCGTTAAATTTATTAATGTGACTAATTTATATGTTCTTGGCCGAATTTTTAAAAGAAAAGCTGTTATGCTATGCGCGCGTTCCTATTTTAAATGCCCCGCGCCATAATACTTTTGGTTAAAGCCCGAATAGTGGTAAATCGGTAGTACCAGCCAATCAGAATGTTCAATTGTTGAACGCTGCCATTCTCGTCCAATCAAAAAGCTTCCCGGTTTTCCACGAAGAAAAGTGTGCATCCGCCATACAACTTAAACATCTCTCGTGGAATTGATTTAGGCATGAAAAGTTACTCATATGTAATTATACGTCAAGCTTATACGTTACTTTTAGTCATTTTATAATTTCATCTACAAACCATACAGTAATTAGCGTCTCTGAATGTTTCTCACAAAACTGTAATTTTATGAACACCATGACGTCACAGTTCGAATCATTGTTTCTAAATAGGATTAGTCTGCAACTTGAATAAATATGGGATTTGCGAACAAACAAGTTAGTTTATAATAAGTGCATATGCTAATAAGTAACTACAATAACAGTTAAGTCTGGGGATTATGTTTTTGAATGACTTTCTGACATTGTCATTTGTTTTCGCTACCCGGAAGTATAAATTGACATTCAGTCAACGTACCTTGTATTTTTCAACGAAGAGAGTGTTAACTGTCACAAAGGACCGAACGGTATTTTAAACACTTTTTTATGTTCAAATAATAAAGAAACAGGAATGGTATATGTGCTTACATTACAATATTTACTGTTTACATATTGCATTCTTGATTACCTGTTTACCTTTACAGTTTACTTTTGATTTTTTTGTGTATATGTAAAATGAAACGTGACTTTCACATTATCATAGACAAACAACATGTTATTGTTGAATATGTAGGTTAAAGCTAATGATAAGAGGGGTTGATATATGTGAATCCGGATCTTTAACTGGTTCTTGGCTCGCGTGGAACTTATAAGAATACACATCGGCAAACCATATCCTCAGACTAATAAAATCCATCCTAGTCAAACAAAAGTTCCAGATAAAAATACTCTTATACTCAAAATAATATCTTTATTGTATTTATAGTTAAAAATGAAGGTAAATTTACCTGTTATCGTTATACCTTTGCACGTGGACGTATTTAAAGTCCGAGGCTTCAGCAGATGATTATGCACGAAAACATGTGCATAAGCGCTATTCTTGTGCATAAGTATACGTCTAATTCGGTAATTTCGTTTTGTTTTCTGTTTGTTTAAAGAACAATTTTGTCATGATTCAACGTTAAAGTGCGATGCCATTAAACGGTTATGTTTTGAATTGAAACAAACGGGCCGTCGTTGCAGTAAGGGTTTTTTTACATGGCGCCTATGTGTCCCGCATATTGAAAAATCTTGCAATCGTCTCTGTTAAAGTCTACCTGCTTGAGCAGTTTTTACGCATGAATACACGTTTACATAGGATAGTTCTGCAATACAAACATCCATACTAATGATTGGGTTGGGGGATGGGGGCTTAAATTATATATATCTAAAAGCATATATTAATAACCTTATATTTTCAGTTCCTGCACTATTAGCAACATTGGCATTCGTATGTTGTTCAGCATTTGCTGTCATCAGTGTTGTTTGCTACAAAAGGTATGTTAAGGTATAAATGCCACAGACTAAAGATATTTTACATTATCGGTAATATAATATAAAAATTATAAAGTTTCGATTTCAAACTTTATTTCTAATAAACTCAGCAATTTCAAAGCAAATCTTCAGAAATATTTGTAATTCTTTAATTATATCCTGCAAATTTGAACCTTGAAATGCAATCTAGTTTTCATACTCGTTCTTGTTATAATGTGTATTAACTTGAGGTTGGACATTATTTAGCTCAGACAAATACTTACTTCAATTAGAAATTCCAGAAATTTGCCATATACTAGTATCTCTATGTTTTAAAAAACACAATTATCTATATCTTATCTATATCAACTATGTTTGGTTGTATGTTACATTAGAAGTTAATCACATCCCATCATATTTATAGGTATGATTTAATGTTTACCAAATATCAGGTATAACAAACAAAGCATTTATAATATGAAATATCAAATGTATAGTTTGTGACTTAATATATGTACTAGTTATATTTTAAGATTCATTTATTTATTTCAGAAGAAAATCAGCAATGGTTACAAAAGATAAGACAAGACATTATGTAAACACAGAAACAGAAGGTGACAATTACATGACGGAGAATCCAACGTATAATAATGGTCAAAGTTCCATTGCTGGTTCAGTCATACATAGCGATGCCGGAATAATTTCAGGCCAATATGAAAGTATTGGAAGTATTCAAGAAATCGCTGACGGTAAACACTGCTCAGAACACCTACCTAATCATCCTGTATCCTATGACTATGTAGAGCTGTCTTTGACTGGCGTAAACACGAGTGCTGCAAACAATAAAGCAATACATGGCACTATTGACAGTGAGCGTAACTTTTCAAATTTGAAAGAGGAAGACAAGACGGTGTATGACTGTACAAACGCAACACCGCCTCAACAGGCAATCGGGCAAAATGATTATAATCATTTAAGTACTATTTCTCCTACAGAGCAGTGTGTTTTCGGCCTTTATGATAAGGTTGAACAAGTTGCTTTAACAAACAATGAAAAATACTAAAATTAGAAGTTAGTTATGGCCTACAAATGTTTCAATTTTCTGAATACGACTATATTGAACAAATGCATATCTATGTAAATATTCAAACATATCGTATTGTGGATATGTTTTTGAAAAAGTGCAAACCTACTTAAAGATGTAAAAAGCTCTTATAATGGTTTTTAATAAAAGAAATCATTCATGTCAATCATTTATTTCAGCTATATTACGACTACTACATGTAAAAAAGACAAAAAGACAACAACACACACACGCGCGCACCAACACACACGCACGCACGCACACACGCACCAACACACACACATACACACAACAAATGGAAATTGAATGGCATAGTAACGATGAAGGCCAACACGTAAAGATAAAACCACTTATAATTATGTAAACAAATTAAAAAACTTTATATATGTTCATTATACAATGTACGTTTAGTTTTATAAAAAGTTTTTACATGGAGTATATAAAATTTGACTTAATTTACTTTTAACGATCATATTCCGACAATGTTACAAATTGGGAATTTGTTTGGCATTAATATGACATATAAACTAATAAATGCTGCTTGTTAGTTCCATTTACATAATCATTTTATTTTCATTAATAACAATGTCAATGTTTAGTTTCTGAAAAAGGAAGTATAAAAATTATACATGTATACTAATATTTAAAGCATGGGATCCTAACAAATTTGTGTGTTAAATATACCTTACGATAACCTAAGCAGGGTGGCTGAATTGTCTGCCAGTTGATTGCAATACGTATCTATTTACCAGAGTCAATCTATTTTCATAAATTGACTTGAATTGATAATGTATTCGAAAATGGAAAGGAATGATAACTCATATTTCAGAATTACGTTAATTAGGAGAATATATCATCATGCCCTTACCTGATACAAAAAGGATAATAACAGAGCTTTGATAGGACCAATCACAAATCAAATCTTGCATTCTCGCCTCCCAATTAACGATAAGGTAAACATACGTTACAGTGTCCGTAAAAGACCCGAATATACAACAACTAGAAATTGCAAGTGACACGATATTTCTGTATATATTTTGTATGTTTTGACTTTGATTTCCTTTGAACCAACATCTCATCGCCAGTAATAATATTAAAGAAAGATCGATTGATTTATTAAGGAATGTTTGGGAATTCCTTGCTTGAAGTTTTGCTCTTAAGTACGGATATTGGGTAACCAACTAGCACTTATCCTTCTCATTTTTAAAACACGTCTGAGAATTGTATAAGCGGCTCATACAGAGATACAAACGCATTTAGCTGATACCTACTAGCTATCAAATCCATTACTTTTTCTACCGTTTTTTGGCGAAGTTGCAGTTTTCGGACGACTTGAACTGAATCAACTCCTTACGTATACACCTCCGTGTGGCAGATGAAAAAAAAAGTTAATTTTCCCTTGAACACAACATATTTCAGTATGTGTATACCAATAATACAGCGGTTTCTTGTTATAGTACCGATTATAGGTCAAGAAGACCTTTTCCCAACCACTTTAACTTTTGAAGATAGCATTAATCGAGCTATTGTCAAAGCAAGACTGAACTGATTTACACATGTATTGTACCAATTGAGTGCTCGGACAACTATCTGTGCGATACATGTACATAGTTCGTGCAAAACATGGTTAAAAGCGAGATACTAGTATTGGCCTAGTTGCATTCATATTCGAACACACCATGTAGTACTGGCCAATTTTAGAGCCAAACACTTTAATCGTTAAACATTTTTTCCGGAATAAGAATAAGGTGCTTTTACACAATGGTGATGATATTTGTCATTGTTTTTATGGTTTTGAATATTTCTCAAAACTAACACCCTAATTAAAAATGATATCTATCTTAAGTTACAGCTACTTCAAATGTAGCAGTTTAAAACATATTGGACATGTAGAAGAGATTTTTATATAACAATTTACATATTAAATGATTAAAAGGAGTTGCGAAAAGTAAATTAATACATTGATAGTTTAAATATTAAATTAATATGCTTTATACATGTACTTGCCGCCGGTGTTTATGCTGTAATGAAACGTTTTTGTTTACAAATGAGGAAAATTATAAAGTACAGAGAGTATATGTGAACGTTCTATCTCCAACATGTTATTAAGTTACATTCTTTATCTTTGCATTCCATCTTTAAGAGGAAAACGTTTATTTCTAATCATTTTATTACTTATATTTACTTCCTTCTAGTTAAGGAAGAAATTATTAGCACAAGTAGTTTCATATTCTTATAAACCGGAAATGTACCGTTAGAACTATATCCTGTTGTCATTATTTGAATATTGTAAAATAAAAATTGCGTTTTAAAAAAGAATGAATGTCGATGCATTTGATTTTAAGCGTCACCAGTAGACTATAACAGAAATGGATTTTATCTACAAATTACTCTGTTGCCTTGTATGGTTTCCTTTGGGTAAGTCTTAGTATGTTTTGTACTTGTTATGAAATAACTTAATACTTGTTTAAACTTTAAAGGATCAATTCAACATTTAAGTTGACAAATATTGTTGACAAATATTGATTGAGATTTTAAATATAAATTTGATATAAACAACATAGCGTGAAACGTTTCTACCTTTCCTTTATTTTTAGCGTACAATAAAACAGGAATAGATCGAAACTGATTAATAAATTCATATTATGAGTATATCTTATTCTGTAATTGTAATACTGTTCAAATCCCTTTTGAAACAGGGGTTTGTATATCTTTTAATCTAACCATGACTTTATTGTATACTGTAATTTTTTCGTTAAACTATTGTTTCAGGGGGCGGAACTTTTTGTGATCCAAATCGAACTAGTACGTATAAAGCTTGTAACATTATATTTATTTCCAAGACGAGCGCACTGTATTTCTAAGTCGCATAAGTGGGATGTAATATCCTAAAGCTATTTACAAAATACAAACACTTTTAAATAATCGTATTTATATTACCTTAATTATGTCATACTGGTCCTTCTTTGACATTGATATTGTTGCAAGATATACTTACTCTCAGCGAATATCTGTACAATATTTATACACGAGTTTGAATTTTGTTTAGTCTCTTAACATCCGTGTTGCATATCTGAAAGAATATTTTTCTTTGATTAATTTTTCGTCAAATGACAGAACCCGCCGATTGAAGCCAGTGCTATGTACATGAAATTTTGTTTTGTTGCAGGAGTCAAAATCTGTACTTACCAGGATGTAACAAATACAACAGGAGTCCATATTGATACTGTCAGAGCTCCATATTTCCAGCAGACATCATGTGAATGTCTTATTACCCCTATCACACATACTATTCTTTTACATTTTCATCTGGTTTCTTTAAGTGAAAGTGTACAGTTTGAAATAAATGACATTAGCGTAGACAAAAATCATGTGTACAAAAAAACAAACATAACAGGTGCAATGAAATTTTTATTAACAACAAATGAAAATTATAAAAGTGGTGGCGCCTGCTTAGCTGTTTATTCAGGTAAGTTTTTTACTAATTAAGAATGCTCATGCTTTTCACTTATATGTTTCAAATCATAACAACTTTTCTGTAAATTCAACTTATAACATATCTAATGATTTTACTTCGTTCAAAATTGAAATTATCTCACAATCGTATAACTAATAATGTAGGCCTTTATGATCCGATTTAATAACGAAATACAACAAGGATACGGTATTTAATCGGCGCAAGACGTTTGTATACATAAATTCCGTATGATATGATACTATTTTCATAGTTATATATGTTTTCTTACTAAAATAAGCTCACTTGGACTAACGAAATCGCCAATATCAATCACTATGTTTAAGTTTAGGTTTAAAGTTAAATGTCTTTTTACTACAGTAACACTATTAAATTGACATGTTTTTGATAAAAGAAATATCTTTTCTAGATAAAGGGATATAAATTTATAATTTAATTTAACGCATGAAATATGTTGCTATACGTATCAGTCAAATATATTTCATATTTGTTAAAAAATAAATAAGAAATATATACATGTATATCAAAGTGGGTGGAGTCAAAACTCATATTAATTTTAATGGAATTAGCTTTATTCAGCTCCATTCCTGACAGTATTTCAGTTATTCACTTTATTATCACTTATTATGATAAAACCTCTAGATTAAATAATATTCTAACACTATATAAAAACACAAAGAAGGCCGTAAGCGTAATATATTTCACAACAATGCACTCGCCGTTCTTATTCATTTCAGATAATGGTGATAAATTTAATATTTCTTGTACGGCATCAACAAAAGAGACAGGTCAGACAAGAACTCTGAATATCCCTCAATCGAGCGAGGCAGTAAACATTTCAAGGACGAGAACAGTTAGTCCAAAAACAATTCAGAACATCACAACGAATGTATCTACAGGGAGGGTAACAAGTGAGAACAGTATTACAACTGACAATGTGAACGGTAACAATGACGCAAAAGGTATGCTTAAAAGATAGAATTTTTACAATTAGAGCAAAGAGTATATCTTGCCAAAAGTCATTTTACACTTTAAGTGTCTCTAAAATTAAGGAAAATAAAAACGTTTTGTAAAAAAGATAATAAACAATATCTAAAAATTATCATACATGTATATATTTTTTAAATTCTAAATATGCATTACACGCTCATAACTTCAATAATGTATTCCAAATGCTTGAATAAATTTAAAATGGAAATAAATACATGAATTTACTTTTCAATATTTTACTCTGTAAAATGCGGTAGTTATATAAACGTTCGTAAGATGGAACTATTACATGAGAAAGAAGAAGAAGAAGTTCTTTACAATAAGCAATCGTTTTAACTTCCTCGTTGAATATTGTCTGTCTTATGTTTTGTTAAATTTCTTATAATTGGAGACATATGTCAATCAAGCGTCCTTGTAAAATATCATGTTTTAAACTATATTCTGCAACAATTTATATTGATAAAATAGCAACCATACTGTATACATGTTAATTCTGCAGGCTGATATAAACTCGCTTTAAGGATATGTAACATTAATTGTCTAAATGACATGTAGTTAAGGATATGTAACATTAATTGTCTTAATGACATGTAGTTATGCCTACATGTAAACTATTTTATATCCTGTTAAAACGTCATTATTGATATTAACTTAATGAAGAGCCTCATTGCTTATTATTGTTCCTGTTTCAAACGATCTTTATGAAAATACATATAAAGTACTTAAAATCAAAATCTTCCAAGTATTTAATTGTGTAAGTATCTAATTGATCTAAGCACGCTTTAACTGTCTTTACTTCATGTTTTCATTCTCTAGAGCCTACTTGATCTCATTAATATTATCTTTAAATATAAGTTTCAGTTGTAAATGATTATACTATTTTAAAGGCACATTAAGCCTTAGAAATCAATACGATTTTTTCTCTCTAAAGAATAGACAAATTTGTGTTTAACAATATTTAAATACCACAATTTACAAATCCACATTCATTTAGAGATTGGGAGACGCTTATCACGCGAAAATATGCTTAGTAGTATAGTCACTAATCAAATATGTAACATGTGTATGATATATTGGACCTTAACAGAGTTTTATAGTTTATTTCCAAATACATGTGGTTATTATACCATATATACAAACAAATATACATACATACAGAAACATAATATCAAGGTCATCAAACATATATAACATATATTAAAAATTTACTGTATATTTGAGACATAAGTTTGATTTAATATGAACAGCATAATCATTTTACAGAAAGGTTTAATTGAAGCACAAGTTTTGCAAAATGATATCAATTAAGTAACATTACATTAACCTTTATGTGATATATTTGTCTGCTCTATTTGACAGTCTAAATATATCATATAACAGCAGCAAATCATAACATCAGAAATTCAACTCATATCGATTTTATTTAGCCTATTTGTTGTTACTTGTTGATTATAAAGCTCTTCACAGAAACAGTGATAGTGGTGAATATATGTTTATTGTGATTCTGATGAGAGTACTAATGATATTTCATTGATTATAATGCCTAAAATGGTGATAATAAAATTGTTTAAATGATTGTTATGATGGTTGTAATGGTGATATTTCTTTTTGATAGTGATGCTTATAGTTGTAATGATGATAATGATGATGAAGACGACGACGACGACGACGACGATGATGATGATGATGGATTTGATATTCATGTGTAGGTTGTAGTGATGATGATGGTCATCATGATGATCGTGAAGCTGATTATGATAATAGTTATGATCAGATTCTGGTTAAGATGATGATCAGGTTTGATGATGATGATGTCGATGATGATGATGACGATGGTGATAAATAAATCGATAAATGTGACTTATTGTTCCAAAATTCGGTATATTGACTTTTTAACTTTTTAATTTAAAAGTAGTTTGAAACAAGAAAGTGTTTCCCGAATGATTTTATGAATACATAGCAAAAAAATGAATGAAATATAGCATGTTAGTTTCAATTTACCTTTATATGCAAGATGTGATTTTAAAAAGCAATATCCTAGAGATGTATTTACGCAGTATAATTGTGCGCCACTGTCCACACTAAGTTGCCTCAAATTCCAACCCTAGCTAAGGTGGATAACGTTGTTTTTGATATCTGGGTAAATTGTGTTTAACAAGCAACAATTATCTCAATAATGTTCTAATACTGAACAACAATTGCACACAAGTCCTATGTTTAAAGGGTCATCGAAAATGATTAATTACAGGAGATGACGCAATAATGGACAGTACGGGAACAAAATTGCAGACAACAGTTCTCTTAAACCAAACAACTGTCGCCGAAAGAAGTGAACTTACAGCGTTTACAACCTCAAGCACAATCAAATCTACACTCTACGTTTCATCAAACACAATGAACGACATAGGTAAGCTATTAATATTAAATCAAATTGATATTAAAAATATTCATTGTCACTGATTATTTACATCACAGTTTCAATTGTTATCGTGTATATTCAGAAGATATACTCTTAAACTTACTAATCTTTATAATTTATCAGAAATTTGTCTATATACATATAATTTTGTTTTGTTTTATGTTAGAATACCCTTATTGATAGGATGGTATATGTCATAAGTATCTATTAACTAGTAACACCATGATATTTCGAGACGGGTTTATATATTGTGTCATTAAGTGCTAGTATTCATAATTAATGTTTTCTTATTACTTAAGAATACTATTTAATTTAATGATATACGTTTTATATAGTTTTTGACAATGACCATTTGACTGTATAATATGCTTACTTGTTAAAACGTACTATGTCAACATAGGCATACTGCCCGGATGTATTCTGAAAAAAACTTTCTTATCAATGTGCTTAGCTAGCTAATATTCAATTCGTTCCCTTATTATTTTGTAAATACAATAAATGTGTTAATGTGTAGATATTGAGCGATAATTACCCACAAATGATTAAATGTATTTTTTTCAGAGTCACAGGGCCAGTCGTTTTGCAAGCCCAGCGGATACCCTAGTAAGTGTAACAATTATTTATATTTCAAAATTAAAACCAACTTCGAATCAAAATATTTTTTTCAGTTTTAAACAAAGGAGATAATCGTTCTCTAAAATGTTATTTAAAATAGATTATTGAGATTTATGTCGTAAAATGGCACATCAGTTTGGTGACTTATCTTTGAATACAGAAGTGTTGCTGTTTTTTAAGTTTATTTCCGGTAAGCAAGTACTTCCAAATTTGTCTAAATGTCGTTGTTCTATTACGTTAATTTTTGTATTTGATTTGATTTATATATTTTTTCAATTTGTTATTTTAAAGTTTGGGATCGTTGTTCTTATTGTTATTTAAAATAGATTATTGAGATTTATGTCGTAAAATGTCACATCAACTTGGTTAACTTTTCTTTGAATACAGAAGTGATTTTTTAAAAGTTTATTTCCGGTAGACAAGTAAAAGTACTTCAAAATTCGTTTAAATGTCGTTGTTCAATTACAGTGAGTTTTGTATTTAATTTGATTTATTTTGTTCAGGATACATTGTATTTGTCGTTGCAAGTGTACTCAAAATAGGTTGAGTTAATGGAATTTAAAAAGATTTTAACATATTATACATATTAAACATAACTTGACGTCTTCAATCTTAAACAGTGAAAAACAACAACATTAACCTGAACGTACCTTTAATACGAGTGTTTTATACAGACTTGGGTAAATGTATTTGTTGTTCACTATACATGTATATTAGGAAGTACAAAAACTAAATACAAGTCACAGTTTAATAGTAAATATATGGCATGATACACGCATAAATGCAGTTTAGTACCATCATACACAATACATTGTATTTTATTTCGTATAAAGTGCAAACACTTTGGTTTCCTTACCTTACCGAACACTTTGTAAGGTGCATTTGTATTTTTCTGTAATTTTTCAAAAAATAACATTCTCAGGAACTATTTATTAAAATACTTCAGCTATTAAAGTATGCACTGACGACGAAGCACGAAATATACTAGCTGCCTACATTGATACTATCAGCGTTCCAGATTTTCTGCAGACATCGTGTGAATGTGTTATAACACCTTCTAGAAAAAATGTTCCATTCCGTTTCAATGTACAATATCATTCAGGACAACGTAGGATGCAGTTTCAAATAAATGACATTCATTTAAACAAATATAACAAGACTGGTCGTACAAACGTTGCATATGCTGCACAACTTCTATTATCAACAGAGGAAAACCATAAAAGAGGCGGTGTCTGCTTGGCTGTTTTTTCAGGTACTTTTACCTTTTACAAGTGCATAAATTGTCCGAGAAATGTTGCCTCGTCCGAGGATCGAACCAGTGACCCTTAAATTACAAATCTGAGACTTATGTTTATGTTGTTTTGTTACAGCATTTACACATATAGCAGAACAAATGTAACGATTCTCATGTTTCTTAATGCTCTATTACTAGCACAAGCTTGTCACGATTAGTAATATCTGAATCACTGTTTATACACATTGATGATATTCTGATGTGAAGTCAGTCATCTCTGGAATTTTGCTTCTTTTGTAAAAATTGAACAGTACTTGCTATCGCATTTGCGAAGCTAAAAACAAAACGTCCATATTAAGTTTTTAAAATCTTTTTGATTTGTTTTACAAACATGTAAAGTAAGTCTTTATAAGGACATGATGCCCATCACAGTCAAGTCTAAATTGGGAATGCACAGATACAGACAAAATAATTTGAAATATTTCAAATGTTCATTATATATAATAAAATTTCTATAATTATCGCTCGGAAAATATCGCTAGCGTTCATTTTTTAAAAAGAATGAGGCAGTCTTTTTTTATTTAAGTAGTTTTTATATTTTATCCTAAAGATGTTTAATTTATCAGACATTGTTGAATCACCAATTTTAAATATATAACTAATTCAACTAAACTAGAAAACGAGGATAATGACACCTTATTTATACAAATGATATACATTTTAACATTTCGATAATTCCAATCAATACATATTGTGGCATAAAATGATAGATGTTTGTGAATTTGCTAGATAAAATTTGTTTTAATTAATCTGTTTTTTTCATATAAATATATTTCGTAAGTGGTCATTTTATTGATATTTAAGAAGTAACATGTTTATTATGTAATAGCAATTTAAAATTAAAAACTGATTATTTGAATGTGATAAACATAGACTTGACGGCTTGATAACATCACGAGGTTATATACCGCTAAGTGGCGTGAGAGATGTTGTACTTTTTCATTATATCTAATGAACAGACTCAATCTAATCGAATCTGCAATTATTATATTAACCTTTTTTTTGTCGTTGCCACCACTGTATAACCACCTTTTCCAGATTTTAATATTTTATTAACACGAAGAAAGGAAATAATAATAAACATATTTCTATTTTGATAACTTAATATAATTTTGTTTAAAAAGTACTATATCGTAAAACAATAGATATGCAGTAAATCTTAATAACGAATACAATTATAATTTTTTTTTGCAGAGGATAGAACTTATTTCACGATTTCTTGTACGAAAGCAACGGAAGGAACTGCAGGACAATCAAGCCCAGCATCTATATCACATGGAAGTCGAACAACCAAACATTCTACGGTGCAAGCTTCAAAAGGTTACGTAAACGGAGACGACGATATTAAAAGTTTGTTTAAAACATACTTTCGAAGTGAATTGAGGAGTTTCTATTTTCTTATTACTAAGGTTTTCAATAAATCTGCAAAATAAACCCTTCCTTACCAGGCAATCGGATATAATGATTATCATCGTTTGGGTTCTGATGGTTTAACTGGATTGAATCTGACAGATGAAAAAATTGGAAATAAAAGCGTAGTTAAACTTTATAATCGCAAAAATAAGTAATAATAACATATTTTCTTGTTAATATTGGTCATTCTGTGCATACCTAAACAACTGCAAACATGTTGACATTATATGAATATCATATCTCATAGTCAAGTGACGTCAACCGATGCGTCACTCCAGATAGCCATCATATATGTGGCAGTCTTTAATAAAACTTAGGTGGTTTTCTATTTTATCCAACACATTCCAGCCCAGTATCTGTATCACATGGAAGTCAAACAACCGAGAGTACAATTTTAAAACCTACTCATTCTATGATGCAAACTTCAAAGGATAACATGAACGGAGAAGACGCTAATATTACATGTTTGTTTAAAAAAAATTACTTTTGAAGTTAATCTAGAAGTGACCAGTTTCCTAATGCTTACATTTTCAGTATATCTATTATGATGAGAAAATAGAAACACACTTAACCTATGGTTATTTTAAAACTTTAGCAATGATAACATACGCAATCATTTATCTAATAAAATTGATATTCTTTACTTTGTATTTAAATGTTGTGAAACAAAAAAACAAAACTTTTTTACAATGAAAATATATTTAAAATTAGCGTTTACACGTCCAGTTCATATAGTGTCATTATTAAGAAATTGAATTTGTGCAAAACCTTTTTCTTCCTGTCATGATTTGATATAAAATAATATAGCAACAAATCATAACATCGCCAAATCAACTCACATCCCTTTTATTTAGCCTATTTGTTGTAGTTTGTTTTGATGATTATGAAGCTCTGTGCTCCGCAGAAACGGTGATAGTGGTGATTATGTGCTAATTTTGATGCAAAAGAGGGATATTTATGATATTTCATTGATGATAATGGGTGATAATAATGATTGTTTTAATAATTGTTATGATGGTGGTAATTGTGATATTTCTTGTTGCCTATAGTTGTAAAGATGATGATGATGATAATAATAATAATAATGATGATGATGATTATGATGATGATGGTTGTAGTAATTATGTGTAGGTTGTAGTGATGATGGTTATCATGATGATCGTGAAGATGATTATAATAATAGTTGTGATCATATGCTTGATAGAATGATGATCAGGTTTGTTATGATGATGAAGTCTACGATGGTGATGACGATGATGATGAAAAAGAAGATGGCGAAAAAGTAAAACATGCTGCTGCTGGTTGTGACGATGGTCGTGTTTATCATTTTGTCAGCACGATTAAGATTCTAATCCAAATGCAATTGTTTAAAAAAATCGACAAATGTGTCTAATTTGTTGCAAATTCGGCTTATTGACTTTTTAACTAATTTTAAAGTAGTTTGAAACAAGAAAGTGTTTCCCGACTGATTTTATGCATATATTGCCAAAAAATATATAAATAAAATGATAATAATAAATAAAAGAAATAGTGAAATATAACATGTTAGTTTCAATTTACCTTTATATGTAAGATTTGAATGTTAAAGATGTATTTACGCAGTATAATTGTACATCATTGTCTCAAATTCCGACCTTAGCTAAGGTGATAACGTTGTATTTGATATCTTGATAATTGTGTTTTACTAGTAACAGTTATCACCATAATGTTCTATCACTGAGCAATTACACACAAGTCCTATTTTTTAAAGGGTCATCGAAAATGATTGCAGGAGATGACGCAAACATCGACAGTACGGGAACAAAATTGCAGACAACAGTTCTTTCAAACCAAACATTGTTGCCTAAAGGGAGTGAATTAACAGCGTTTACAACCTCAAGCCCAATCACATCTACACTCTACGTTTCACCAAACACAATGAACGGCAAAGGTATACTATCAATATTTAATCAAATTGATATTGAAAATATTAATTGTTATTGATTATTTACCACACAGTTTCCATTGTTATCGAGTATATTAAGAACATATCAAAAAGTTTCTTTCAATGTGTTTATTATATACATATATAAATATTTTTTTGTAATTATACTTTTATTGATAAGTTTTTATCTGTCCTAAATATTTATTTACAGGTGATATCATGATATTTCGAGACATGTTGATATATTGTGTAATTAAGTTTTAGTATTCAAAATAAATGTTTTCTTATTGCTTAAAATGATGTTTAACTAAATGATATTTGCTTTATTTTGTTTTTGACCTTGACCGTTTGATTTTATAATATGCTTATTTGTTACAGCGTACTGTGCACTCATAGTCATACTGTCCGAATGTTTTCTGAAATAATCTTTTGAAACTTGTTATCAATGAGTTTTGCTAGCTAATATTCCATTCGTTCCCTTATAATTTTGTTATTACAATAAATGTGTTAATGTTGATATTGAGCGATAATTACCCACAAATGAATACACGTAATGTTCTAGAATCACAGAGTCAGCCGTTTTGCAAGTCCACCAGTCATCATAGTATGTATAACAATATATTTCAAAATTGAAAACCAGCGTTCGAATCAAAATGATGTTATTTGTTCAGTTTTAAACAACGGAAATAAAGTTTGCAATCGTTCTCCTTATTTTAATTTCCCCGTAATCAGGAGTCTTTAAAAATTGTTTTCTAAATGATGTTGTATCATTGCTACGAATTTTGTATTTGATTTGATTTATTTTGGTCAGGATACATTGTATTTTTCGTTGCTTATGTACTTGAGAGAGGTTATGTGAATGAAATTTCAAATGATATCAATATGTTATACATGCTAGACATAATTTGAAAATTTTTATAAAAACATTCACCTTAAGTGTAACTTTAATACAAGATTATTACAAAATAGCAGGCAAAAATACAAGGTACACGTGTCCTTAGATGTATTTGTTGTTCACTATATTAGGAAGTACAGAAACTAAATACAAATCACAGTCTTTATAGAAAATCAAATGCATGCATATCATGTATAATTGCAGTTTGGTGCCATCACGCTGAGTATTTTATTCTGTTTAAATTGTCAACAATTTGGTTTGCTTACCTTATCGAAAGCCTTTATTTGTGCATTTGTATTCAACTTAAATTGTTCAAAAAATAACATTGCCATATACTATTTTATATTATTATATAATCTATAAATAGCTTTGAAATGCCTTTCCCTGATTGGCTAACAAGCAACTTTTTGTAAAAAATAACAGGTCAATATCAGAGTATATTCACTGTTTTTTTCCTAAAAATAGATTTTCAGATTATATTCACCGGTTTTTCTTCTATAAATAGATTTTCTGGAAATCCCTAAAAACGCGAGACTTTGACATGACGTCACGCCAAGTTTGTTGTTATTATTCTGGAAAAAAAACGTTGAGTGGGGTGTACATAAGAGTCAAATTAGTCTATTTTAGTTACCTTTTTACATTTTTAAGAACAATAGGGATTAGCATGCCAATGGAAATGACCAAATTATGGAAACAGTAGACAAGCTAAAAAATAATGATTTCCGTCGTATGCAATGGCAGATGTGATAAGCCATATAAAAGCTATTTATAAATTATATAATAAAACAGATATGTACTTTTTAGCTGTTGAATATGATGTGATATGTCCTGAAAAATTAATATTGACCTCGGCTATCGCCTCGGTCAATATTAATTTTTTCAGTACATATCACATCATATTCAACAGCTAAAAAGTCCATATTTGTATAATATATACTTTAGCTGTTAAAGTATGCACTGACGACGAAACACCGAATACAATAGCTGCCTACATTGATACTATCAGCGTTCCAGATTTTCTGCAGACATCGTGTGAATGTGTTATAACACCTTCCAGAAAAAATGTTCCATTCAATTTCAATTTAATCAATCCTTCAGGAAGATATAGAATACAATTTAAAATAAATGACATTCATTTGGGCAAATATGACACAACTTCTCGTACGAACCTTACATATGCTACTAAGCTTCTATTATCAACAGAGGAAAACCATAACAGAGGCGGAGTCTGCTTAGCTGTTTATTCAGGTACTTTTACTTTAATACAATTTTAAAAAATTGTATTTTACCTTCGAGTCGACGGATTTTCTGCCAAAAAAATGGTCCGAGTGGGAGCATGTAGCAGATCCTACCATTGAAGAAAGAAAACAATAAAACAAATCTTGTATTTTGATAACTTGAAATAATTTTGTTTGCAAAGTACTATATCGTAAAACAATAGATATGTAGTAAATCTTAATAACGAATCAATTATAAATTGGTTGCAGAGGACAGAACTGATTTCAAAATTACTTGTACGAAAACAACGGGAGAAACAACGAGACAATCTAGCCCATCATCTATATCACATGGAAGTCAAACAACAGAGAGTACAACATTAAAACCTATTCATTCTACGATGCAAGCTACAAAGGATAACATGAAAGGAGACAACCCTATCATATGTTTGTTTAAAAATTTACATTTGAAGTTTATTAAGAAGTAGCAATTTTCCTACTACTTACATTTTTAGTATATCTCGTATGATGAAATAACAGAAAAAATACTTAACCTTTAGTTGTTAATAAACTTTACCAATGCTGATACACATAATTAACGATAAAATATTTGTGCCTTTGTAAAAATGACAAGTTCTTAAAGTACGTATTTAACTTAAATACACGTAATTGTAAAAATACACTACTGCTTTGATATTTAATAATAAATTTATCCACAAAAGGTTACAAACCCATGTGTGTCTGACATGGTATACAATCATTACTTTACAAATAAATATAGGTCAATGGTGACATAAAGCAGACTCATATAATTACAATGTATTTTATTTTAATGTACACATTTTATGTAATAAGTCAAAGAAAGTTACGTCACATGCATATAGTCTTTATACAATATAATATTGAACTGTTCAGTGTATCTAGCGCCGAAAATTATCTATGAAACAGTATGCACTGTTTGCCACATAACTACAAGGAAAGGGATGTTAACGTACATTATGAAAACCTATTTATAGAAACACAGTTCCTATATCATAGGGCGGGTGACAGTTACCCGTTTATGTCTGTGTAACATAGACAATCATTTATATAAATAAAATTGATATTCTTTACTTAGTATTTAAATTTTCCGAAGAACAAAAATCTTTTTTACAATTCAAATAGAATAAATTATAACATGTATTAGCATTTAAACTTCCAGTTCCTACAGTATTTGAATTTTGTGCAAAACGCTTAATTTAAGTTTGAATAAAGTTACTTTTTTCTGTTGAAACTTCCAGTTCCTTCAGTGACAGCAGCTTGCGGACTTATATTAGGAATTGTTATTGCTGTAGTTTGCGTTATTTTCTACAAAAGGTAATTTTAACCTACACTGGTGCACTTATCAAAATGTGTTGAGTTCTTAAATATTTTATAATAAGATTAACATTGGAATATGGCTGAAACTTTGAAATTTATATCCTAACTTTTTTATAAAAATAAAAGGACATAAAAGCGTGAATGAATGTTTGTGTACATAACTATGAATAACGTGAAAGTATTCGTACTTTATAATAATGTAACACTATTTTAAAAATAAGCTAATTTTGTTGATTTTTGAACACATATTCTGTTTTTTTTGTAGGAGAAAGAAAGGAAAAAGAAGAAATGCCACTACAGTAAGCTCCACAAACGCACCTGTAGAGGGTGACTATTATATGACTGAAAATGCGATGTACAATATGGGCCAGATATGCACGAGAGAAACAATCAATGAAAACGAACACAACAATGTTAACCATAATGATGGAGAATCACCAGGCCATTATGATTGTATTCAAGAATCAACTGACAGAAACCAGTCTTCTGAAAACTCACCAAACCATGCTGTGTCAAACGAGTATTCAACATGTGTAAAAGTAAGCAAAAGAAGTGATGGTGGTTCAAACAATAAACGGTCAATTATTGATAAAGAAGAGCAATCACAATTCTCAAAAATGAATGGCAAAGATGACACAGTATATGACAGTACAATATCAACCTTTACTCAGCAAGCAGTCGGAGATAATGATTATCATCATTTGGGCTCTGTTGGTTTGACTGGACTAAATTTGACATATGACAGAATTGGAAATACTGGCGTAGTTAGACATTAAACATTGTATTTTTTAGGAATATGGATAATCATCTTTTCTTGTCAATATTTATCATTCATTCTGTTCATACCTAAAAAACAATAAATATTCTATAAATATCATATATCATAGTCAAGTGACCTCATCCAGTATGTTAGCCGAGATGGCCATCAAGGGTGAACACATCGTTTTATTGCTACCCTCTGACGTCATATAAGGTTATATTGTAAATAAATCATTGAAGGTATTATATTATCATATTCAGTCACAACAACAGGTATCAACGGCATATGATAGTGTATATAGTGAATGAATAACATAACATGTATCATTTGTATGTAAAAGCATGATGTCAGCGATATGAAATTTCGTATCAATCACCTCTCAATAACCGTAAAATGGATTTATTGTAGTTAATACGGCTCAAAACTAGATATCATTATGAAGACAATAGGTTTTCAATACATCACTGAATATTACATGATAAAGTATAATTCTTATTTACCTTAAAGTAATGAGATAAAGAACTATGTGCTAATTAAAAGATAATACAAGAAATTTCAACAGCACCTCAGACACCTATCATTTAAGTTATATTTCCAATAGACAAAGTTTCGTTTAGTTTTAATCGATGTCCCTTGAACCAAAGATACATTATCAGGGACTTTCTTTTTAAGCTTTCAAAAATGCACCTGAGAAAACTTGAAGGAAAAAAGATCTTGAGCAGAAAAGTTAAGTTAGATTCATTTTATGTATTGATACCAATTATACCAATTACTTGTCGTCCTGTCGCTAACGATGTACGCCAATTGGCTCCTTGTCGTGTGGCGTGTTGTCGCGATGTAACATTGTCGCTCGGTTCAAATCGAAGGATTGTCTTATAAGCCAAGAGAGAGGGCGACATCGCGCCGGACAACAATGCACGGTTTGGCTTGCTTCGCTAGAGACAAGATGACAGTGCGACAACGCGTCGTTTGGCGCTTTGTCGTATTGTCGCTACCGACAAGACGAAAAGGCGATAGCGATATAGGTTGTGTTGTTGCTAACGACAACGCAACGCGCAATTACCAATTCAGCCACCATAATCTTCTATATTATACAAATATATGTGTCTTTTTGCATTGATATTGATTGTTTACCACTGAGGTAAAATTTCCACATTCATATAACAAGATGTCATAAGTCATAAACAACAATTTTCATTTCCAGATGGGATGATATTTACTCCTTATTCGGAGATAACAGATCTAGAACAGGTTACCCATTTACCTTTTAGAGTGGATAATGGAAAAATAGTGTTATATTTATAGGCTTTATTTAAAATATGTTTAGAATCTTTTTCCTGAATAGCTCAGTAGGTAGAGCGCAGGACCGATAATCTCGATGTTGTGGTTTCGATACCTACTCATGCCACTATCATCTTTAATAAATTTCTTTATTTGATATTCATTATTTTTCATGTTCATTCATCTTCTGTCAAGAAAGTTCTTTGTCATGTTCATTCTGGAATATTCTTTCTCTAAGTAGTTAAGTATTCTAGATTGTTCATTGTTAGTGTATATATGATGAATGTTTGTACTTCGAGATGTGTGTGCAAATTTGTGATATTGTGTGATGTTGATATATTGATTGTGTGCTATTGTACTGCTAACATAGTAATATATAAGTTTGGATTCTGTAATAATTTGTGGTAATTATTTTGAACATATATTGTGAAATATTGCTGTGGACATTGGACATTGATTAAATTTGAGTTATGGACAATTGTTTTTCGAACTGTGAGTTAAACTTAAGGACATTTGTTAAAACTGAATCGTGGATAATTGGGAGTTAAACTTTATTTTCACATTTTTGTGTTATTGTAAATAACTGTTTTTCTTTAATTAAAAATTCTTAAATTTGTTGCTGCATTATTATCTTTGTTGCGTTTAGCTCGTAACAAAAGTAATATAGATTATGTCTAGCTACATGTCCTAGTATTGAATAGATAAGCATTTTGAAAAAAAAAGAACGATAAAAGTTGATATAAGTTTATGCAGAATTTTATAACATATATTTCCATCCTACTTCGGATTGTTGTGTTCTTCCGTTTCCTGTTTATTTTGTATGAAATTAAATTTAATTTAACTTAATTCAAGTTTGAACAAAACGTTAAGCTCATCAACTTACTGATCCGTCATTGAAGCAGTTGGTACTAATCAATTAGTGTTAAGATTTGTTTTGCTCAAATTAACAACCGCCTGCACTTCAAGGGGTTTGAATCTACTCGGCAATAATTACATTACTTGTCTGACTTAGCCAAGGGGCACTTTGTTACTTTTTTGCCGGACTTTGCTTGAATGTAATAACACATTTCAATATATCTATACCATCCAGCATTAAAGTTGATAACTATACACATTGTACATATTTTTCATTTGATAAAATATCTTAAACTACTTGATATAAACCTTAATTACAAGTCATTTTGGCATATCATATTTATTCAAATTTTTGTTACAGTTAGCCCAATGTAAAAGTGTATCAAGTGTTGATATATTGCACAACAGTCTAATAAAAATTTATATCGTATCAAGATGTAAGTAACCAATTTTACAAATAGGTTCATGCTACTCCTGATTATAGACAAAACGAAGCATAATATACATTCTATGACGAGCCGTTAAAAGGATGGTACCATTACAGTGTTTGTTGACAAAAGTTAAGGTAGAAGGACATTTCAAGTTAGTGTTGGAAACACAGCGTTAGATAACGAATTATTACATAATGACAGACGGTATTATAAAACAACTATCTCACTCGCATAACACAGTGCAGCGTTTTATAACAGACGAGCTAAAAATGGGTACATAATTATATAGAGGATATTTGTTTGTTTTTCAAGAAAGATTGAAATATATTTCACTGAATGAACACCAGATGCAATATTTTCACGAAAGGCGTAGCCACGAGTGAAAATAGAAAAGCTGGTGTTCACGAATGGACTATATTTCATTCTTGTAAGTAAAAGAAATATTTTTTATTTCATGCTTTTTAAGTGATTTTAAGTATTTTTTTAACTGATTTTGCCGCGTTACATCGTGCATTCTCCTTTATGACGTCGTTAAATCATGACGTCACATCATCATGATTGAAATATAGTTCTGTTAAATTTCTCTGTTTGTTTGTTTGTTTGTTTGTGTCATTTTACGCCTTTTCCCAACAGTATTTCAGTCATATAGGCGGGTAGTTTCCTTACCATCGTTCCTGGAGAGTTACACCAGTACTAGACTACCTTCCTCCGTGCTAAACTACCAAAGCATCTCCCGGGGATCGAACCCACGCCAGAGAGGTAACTGGATTAGAAGTCATCGACTCTAACCCCTCGACCACGGAGGCGGTATAAATTTATCATAACACACATAAACAACTCCCACAAAGAGACAAACTAAAACACCGAACCCAAATCGAACTCTAATTTTGTTACATTTTTAACATGATGTATGATGACATCGGCTTTCTTTTCCTAAAGATGCAAACTTTACGTATGTCGGCCCGTTATTTTTTATTTCGTTTATTTATTTTTGCCCGTTAGTCCATTTAGTTATATTTGTCTTTTCATCCTCATTCAGATATAGTCCGGCTACAGTGAAAATTATATTTTATAGATTTCACTAGTGGTTTATCAGAATATAATCATCTGATATATTACAGTAAAACACTGGAAAGCAGAAATAAACATGTACATGAAATAAGTCTATCATACATGTATATGAAATTAGTCGATCATACATGTACATGAAATAAGTCTATCATACATGTACATGAAATAAGTCTATCATACATGTACATGAAATTAGTCGATCATACGTGTACATGAAATAAGTCGATCATACGTGTACATGAAATAAGTCGATCATACATGTATATGAAATAAGTCTATCATACAAGTACATGAAATTAGTCGATCATACATGTATATGAAATGAGTTGATCACAAGTCGTGATTATGTTGAGAAAATTGATCGGACACTAGACGTTAAACAAATCTTGATATCGGCGCACTTTAAGTACTACAAAGCACTGTTGTTCAAAGTTAAATGTAAAATTATTATTCAATGTATGTAAATTATATTCGAGCTCAATGTCAGTATCGTTTGATGTTTTTCTACACATGCTTCACTAATAAAGCAATTCTGCGAACTTCTCTGTTAACTCTATTAACCTTTGTATACAGTAAATTATTCCTTAAATAGGTTAAATAATAATATCATATATATTTTATAATCAATCCTCGAAAAATTCTCCGGTTTAGTTTACAATGAAACAATGCAGCTAAAACAATTAATGGTTTTTTCCTTCTATTATTAACAATTTGAGGGTATCGTGAACTGTTTAAGGACAATACTTCCTGTTTATAACAATCGGATTTATACATATATAAAGAATCATTTTTATATTTTACTTCATTTAATTGGATAAACATCGGAATGGGAATTTACTGTTTTATGTGCCTTCTTTGGTTTATTAGAGGTATCTACACATCTATTGTATCTTGAACAGAATACTTTAAATCTGTAACATGACTGTTTGTCCCATTATATTCCATGTATGTTTAATTCAAATTATTTTCATAATAAATATAAAAGGTTGTGTTTTATAGCTTGGAATGTTCCAGTTAAGAGAGAAATTAGTTTAAGCATATACCTTTCGTAATTGAATTTTAAATAAGTCATCTTAAAGATATACTTTGCTCAATTTTGATATATTTCAAAATCGATAATTGCTACATATTTTTTAATTCTGTAATTGTAAAACCAACATGTGTTAAATTCACATAGAGTAGACATGTCACGTTTAGAACTCTAAAAACTATAAGTAAACACAATATGAATAGATACCGGTAGTTCATTACAAAATATTTTTTTCAGTAAGTACCATCTTAGCTTGACTTATTAAAAGGACTGCTGTATTCCTGCGTTCTTTTGTTCAAATTAGACTTTGACCATGAATTTTCTATATTTCATTAATTTCTGTAATAAGCAATTTATTCACATATTGGCATAGTATATCTTTAATTGTATGATATTATGCACAAATATATACATATGTAATACATATTTTCAATCAAAATCATAAAAGGCAATAGCTTGACGCTGTGTGTAATGATACAGTTTAATAGCAGGATGATTATGTTGATTCTCAAACACTCCACTATTAGGTCCTCTAAAATCTTGATTCTGTTCTATATGTTTGATATAATAAGGCAATTAATTTTTTTCAGGCACTCAGTGTAGGTCATTTTGTGGACCCAGAACACCTCCTAGTATGTATAGTATGTATAGTTAAATGAATGTAAGAATTAAAAATCTAGCTATTTTCCATCTCAGCTAGCATACAATGCAGACAATCGTTATCATTTTATTTAATACAAAATCAGCAAGAAGTAAACTACATTTCCTGTAAAAGGAAATCAAATGTTACTTTAATTAGTCTAGGATTTCAATAGTATACAATGTAAAAGAAATTAAAATGTTCCTTTAATTAGTCATTGATTTTTATCTTAATTGTTCAAAATAAATTTGTATTATTGTTGACCTAATCTAGCACGACTTTTGGTCTTTTGTCTAGTGAAGGTCTTCTCAAGTTATATGGAGCTGCCCAAGTGACTGATTTCACGACCCTTTATTTTTTCACAGTTATAAGTAAATCGATTTTAATCTATCTATTCTGTCTTCAATATGTGAGGCTAAATCTTTATTTATGATGATTAAAATCAATAAATTTATGTTCATTATTTTAATAAAATGCTTTTGTCGTTATGATAAGGAAATCTCGGAAGTCTTAATATTTGAAGATTCAATAAAATGTTCTTCCCGAGAGTTTATATTATAAATGTTACGAAGTCAGGTTTCTATTTTAGTTATGCACTATGCACACACAGAAGTTTGAAAATAGAAAATAAGAATGGCTATATCTTTTTAATATGATTGAAAAGAATCATGAAAACATATATTTCTATTCATAATGAATATTTAAAAATGAGAAAAGCTGGTAGGCATAGTCAAAAAATTCTTGTACAGGGTCGATGATGCTTTACATGGTCTTCTGCATTTATGCTCACCCGAGCGTTACCTATCTGTAAAGATATTCACATTTGTAACATCGAAAACCTGAGATATGGGATACTTTGAAAAATAGCCTATTTCAGTTTCACATTTTCTTAATCAAACTTTTTAACTTTATTTAAAGGTTTATAAAACATTTCTTAAGGTACAGCGTTTTAAACTTAAAAACGCGCACGGGGCAATTTGAACAATGCTAAGTTGATAGATTTTGTTAAAAAGTGCAAATTCATAGGGTAAAATGACACCGAAGTGGTCTATGTCAGCCAACAGCAAGTTTTATATACCAAATTGTTCGTCTTGGTCTGAAGTTTCCGGAATGAATATTCATTTGTTTCAAGTCCGATGCGTAGCTTAAAAATCTAAGATGGCGTCAAAGATGACCGCCAAATCCCTAAATATTCTAGAAAATTAATATTTGCTCATATTTGTTTCCGTTTTTGTATTTCAAGTGAAATTTTTGCACGGAAGATATCTTTTAAAGCGTTTTTTACGAAGATATTTAATTTTATTTGAGAAAACAGATTGCTTTTTTTGTTGCTTTTTTATACGTAATTAAGCAAAATAATGCTAAACTTATGGGTTTTTGCTATGATACTCTTGTCTTAGCTTAAACAAAGAAATAATTTTTGTCTTAGCTTAAACAGAGAAATATTTATCAGTTATTTTGTTATTCCACTATTGTTAATGCATTCATATCATATCTTAAGAAATATTCTTTGTAATTATACAGTAAGACATATAAAATGAGAGGCGGTACATTAAAATAGTTTTTCTAAGTAAGGTTGTAACTGGTA